GCTATTTGCTGTATTTTTATATTCCTTACTTTGCTGATGATGGTCATTTATCCATCGGCCCATTTCAGTAGGTCTTGCTTCCAATGAAGCGATTTCAGATTTAACAGTCACAGTAATTTAGGTGTGATGTAAAGTCTAATAAAAATCTAATAAAATGCAATGTGGTCATAACTGTCTGGTAGTGATGAGAAGAGGGATCAGGTGTTACCTCCTTATACACCTACTCCTGACTTCAGAGAACCTGGTCTCTGAGTGATATATAAAAAAAAAGATGCTGAAACAGGGAATCCTCTGGGAATTCTTTGTCCTCTGCGACTGTTAAAGAGCAGTATATTTCTAATTCATTAATGGGTTAACAAAATTTAATTTCTCTTATTGTAAGCACATGCAGCCTAATAAATGGATTTGTGTGCGTGCAGGGTCTTACAGAATGTCACATGACCTAATGTACATTGGAGAGCGCCAAGATTAGAGGGCGGGGGGGGGGGGCAGCCACGGGGAGAGTCTTGTTTCACACATGATCAGTGTTGGACTGCAAAACAAGTCCAGAGCAGCTTAGGGAGTCCATCCCTGTCGTTTCCGTGCTGTGCTCTCAGCCAGATATCAGCTGCACATGAGAATGCAGGAGGAATTGGCTCATCCTAGCAAGGTTAACTGGCATCTTCCCAGTCCTCTGAAATCAAAGTATGTCTGAAGTGCATCTCTCATCTCAGCATGTGGCTGAGAAGTCGCAGGAAGCCTGGTGTGAAACGCCTTTGCCCTCTGCCCACTCTGATCCTCGGCATTTTTGAATCCTCGTGTGGACGTCTTAAATGGCCCCGCCATCATGCCTAGGGGGGGGCGTCTTCTTTCCTTCTTTGCCTTTTTTGAAGACATCACTCATGATGTCTGATGAATTCGTTTGATCCTTCTGATCTCGAAATTGAAATTTTCATGCGTTCCCCTAACACTTGAACCATCTCCATAAATTCTACATCGCCTGCTTGCTTCAGGTGACGTGTGTGATGCTGGAAAAGTCTGAATGCCTTTGCAAACAGCTTCGTTGAAGCTGGAATGTTCACAAAGTCTTAGTGTTTTTGGTCCAGGAAACATTTCAGGCACTAGGGCCATGTGGAAACCCTCTGGGAGGGGGAAGGAAAGAAAGAAAGAGAAAACTTTGGGTGTTTTTTTCCCTCTCATTGTTGACTGCTGTAAGTCGTCTGGGAAGTGCATGAAGTCCACAGCTGAGTGAAGAGGACTGTTCCAGGCAGGAGTCTGAGAGCGATGCTCAGCTCACACACGGCACGTCAACGGAGCCTGGAGGACGGCGATTCATTCTCAGCATCAACTGCTACACACAGGGCTTGCCCTTCACCAACCTTGCTTTCCACCATACAGGCATGGACTAGGAGCCTCTGGAGACTCTGAGGGCTGGACAGACAGAGCAGGACAGACGGAGTTAGCCGGAGAGTCACGTGGCCCCATCTCCTTATCTCAGCCGGAGGGCGTCAGACACTCTGGAGAGCTTCTGCGCTTGAGGTTTCAGAAACATTCTCACCTGCTTTTATACTTTGTGTGATTGGCCACTTTCTGCCTGAGGTGCATCATGCTGCCCACCTGTGTTGTGTTGATGTGGATGTTGCTGGCCAGTGGACTGCAGGCCCAGGAGCCTGAAAGCGAAGGCCACCCCTGGAGGCAGATGATTCAGTGGGAGAACAACGGCAGAGTGTACAGCCTGCTGAACAGCGGGTCCGAGTACCTGCCCGCCAGGGGCCTGGAGCAGGACCAGGGCCACCGTGTGCTTCTGGCTGATGGGCCCCCCAGCACCCCCCGCAGGCCTCACGGGGGCAGCATGCGCCGGCAGGCACCTGCCCGGAGCAGCTCCGACACACTGCGAGGCCAGACCAGGCACCCATTTGGATTTGGGCAGGTACCAGAAATCTGGCGTCAGGGGGCAGTAAGTGGGAGCAATGCAGGCGGCCGCGTACAGCAGTCCTCCGGCGCGCGTTTTCGGAGCTCCGCCTCCTCTTCGTCGTCCTCATCCTTCTCCGAGCCGCCATTCACCGGGTCATCACACCCACAATACCCATTTCCTCAGCAACCGTCCTATCCCTTGTCGTACGAGCCGGGTGCCGGGGAGGAGCTGGGTCCACGGCCAGAGCCTCCCTTCCAGAGGGGGATCGGCTACTCGGGCGGGAGAGGCTACATCGGTGGCGGATATACCAGTGAGCGCATGGCCGCACACCCCCCACGAGCCTTCCCAGACTACGCCGAGAACAGCTTTCGCTACCTCCAGCCGTACGCCGGCTCCCCGGCTCAGCCACCCTTCTCGGACGGCCTTGACCGCAGGTACATGCACAGCTTGTACAACGAAGAACCCAGCGCTGGCAGCCCCGACCCGGCCCCCAACCCGGCTGCCCCGGCTGCCCCGGCTGCCCCGGCTGCGGACAGGACAGATGCGGCTGCACAGACACCACTCCGCAGCCCCCAGTACGAGCAGTTCCCCCCCTTTGGGCGGGTGCTGCCCCAGCCCCCCTTCCTGCAACCCGCACACGCTGGTAGGAACACAGCAGAAAACCCCAACACCAGCGTGGGCAGTGTCTTCCGGCCGCAGCAGAGAGGTAAGAAGATCCGCACATGGGCTCCCGCAGGCTCCAGCTCCACAATGACGTCCACTGCCGCCTGCTCAGAGGAATTCCCCAGAATGTAAAAGCAAACATTAATGCTTTTTCATGTACCGTTTATATTTCACCGCTTCTATTTGGTTGCCATGAAGAAATGTCGTCTCTGGTTTCCCTGAATGGTCTTATTGATTCTAACCTTTAGCAGGGCCTCTTCTGTCAATAACCATCTCCATACCAAAGGATTTCCCCTAAATGGTCTGCGGCTTTAAGGTCCATGTGTTATTCTGGCTATGTAACCTGCTCAGGTCTGACCCAGTGACCCTGTGCCAGCCAAAGCCTGCGCTTAACACAGTCTCGGCTCTGGGCAATCGTGCGACCCCAGTGATGGGACGCTGGGAGGGGCACGGCCATCACGCTGTGCTGGGGGCAGCAGAATAATGCAGAATTTGAAGGTCAAACATGGTCCGAGAGGATAACAAAAGAGAGGGGGCAGGGAGCAGCCCCAGAGGGCGTGGCAGCGGAAAGTTCTGGTAAGCATAGGGGGATGCAGTGCCTTGGGAGACTCAGTGGGATGAATGGGGGGGGTGTAAAAAAAATTCTGAGACCATTTGAAATGTGGCCAAAAGCACAGGCCTGTTTCATAATGTGAAACAGATTTTCTATTGGCTTTTATTTTCTTCTGGTCCATGGATCATTGGCTAACTCCTAAAAAGAGTTGCTGGGTGGGGGCATGGCCTGGAGGGGGGAGAATACCCGTTTTATCAGATTGCCAAGTTTCCAGGATGGAAAAAAAGCAGCCGCTGTTTACATGAAGGGGACTCAAAGTGTAAAGAGGTGATGTAATGTCCCTGTCCAGCATTAAGCAGGGGGGGGCTCATGTCTTCAAGGGGCGTCACCCCTCCAGATGTCGAGCTGGTTCATTCCACAGTGTTTCCTGGCATTAGTGCATATGCGGGTTCGACAGACACCGAATCGGCTGTCCCTGATGGCTGGAAACTCCACCTCTCCTGATTTTAAAGCAATTTGTTTTTGCTGCTGGGGCATAATATTGTGTTCTGTCACAGAGCGTGACTGAGGACTGTAAATTAACTGCCCCTTGAGGAGGATCTAGGAGGGGCACAAACACGGCTTGAGCCAAATGGAGGTGCTGGAAGCTGATTTGGCTGGTGCTTAGAAACACTGGATTCTTTGTGTCACGGCGCTTTGTTTCCCCTTGAATCCTTCTTGTACCATATAGTGCTTAAAAAGACGTGTATTGATCTCTCTGATTGAGACAGCAGGGCAGCGTGATTGAATAGAAAGACGCTACACCATTTCAAAGCACATAGCTTGTCAATGTTAACAAGGACAGGGTACAGAAGTTTCTTCTGTTAATTAGATTGCATACCTCACAAGGCAGTGACACGTGTGAGTTCTCAACCCAGCCTGATGACTAGGGGCTGCTTGTTAATGCACTGGCACATGCATTACTGCTACACTAACTGACTGAGTGGACTCACATATCATAGCCAGATCATCGAAGAAGTAAGAACATAAGAAATTCACAAACGAGAGGAGGCCATTCGGCCCATCAAGCTCATTTGGGGAGAACTCGACTAATAACTCAGAGTTGTTAAAATCTTATCTAGCTCTGATTTAAAGGAACCCAGGGTTTTATCTTGCACTACACTAGCAGGAAGACTATTCCATACTCTAACTACAGTTTAAAATGTTCTCCTGCTAATTTCCACCTATGGCCACTGGTTCTTGTATTAGTACTTCAATATTAGTTCAATTTGGCTGAATAACATCCAGACCTGTTAGAATCTTATATACCTGGATCATGTCCCCCCTTAATCTCCTTTGCACGAGGCTGAACAGATTCTGCTCAGCTAACCTCTCAGTAACAACACAGTGTAACATGTAAAAACTGACAAGTCAAGAAGGCCAACTCAGTCCAAAGACCGTGTTCTTTACTCAGGAACACATGCCGAGTATCCCCAGCTCATTTTGCAAGAGGTGTTGTTGACCAGCAGCAAAGTGTATAGCAAAATATGTATGCAGAAGAAGACAAAAAGTAAACACGAAGAACGTCTTGGAGAACAGATGAGTTCAGCTTGGAAAAAGCATCCGGTAAAAATTTACAGTTAGTTCTTTCTTGGGAAACTCTTCTCAGAGGAGTGCTGCAGTTAGGCATTCAGTGCAATGTGGGACTTTCTCCACAACTTTAACTTGTAGACAAATTTCGATTTTCCAATTTCGAGTGCAAACTGCCCCCGGTACTCCTGGTCTGCGGACGTCTGCATTTCACACATCGCAAGCTGTTTAATTACACGTAGCTCTGGTATTTTGCTTCAGCTGTTAGACTATTGAATGTCTCTCATTAGACACTTCAAGCTGTTAATTTCCAAGTAATTGCTTTAAATGAATGGGATTAGTACTAATTTCAAAACTAAGTGAATGCTGATTAAAATATATTCATTGAGAGAGGAGCAAATTCCCACACTGCAGCCCGGTCTCCAGTATAAATTGTGAGCGCGTTAGGAAATTATAATAGAAAATATAAATACCGCCTGTAAGGGGCTCGGCTAACAGAGACTTAAAAGTACTCTGTAACACCCTGAGATTACTGAAGGAGGTGCATTGTGGAAAGCCTGTGACTGAATTCCCACCCAAGCATGTCCAATACACGGAACGCTGCCATACACAAGAGCAATCTGCTATGCTGCCAATCCATTTATCGCACTGCGCGCTTGTTTTTCTTTGCATATGCCCGTAAGCGGGGGCGATTTATCTTACAATTTTACACTTTGCTGATTCGTACTGCTAGCTGTTTATGAAAGCAATTAAATACATTACGTTTCTCCGGGGTACGAGGTAACCATTAAAAACATGGTCAATGAGAGATCACAAAGGAGGCTTTTGTTGAAGAAAATATTATTTCGTTGGAGGATTTTCCCTCCTCTCCACCAGAACATAAGAGGTCCTTGGGAGAACAGCGTTTCTGTCATGATTGCGGGACCTGGGAGGATGGCATTCTGGGATTCACTGTAACCCCTGAAAATAGATTACAGCCAGTCAAGCCCAGTGAGCCTGACTCATCAACACTGTTTCTGTACTGTAATGCATGCTGGCTGGTAATGATGCCAAATAACTCGTGTTCTCATAAAATACTAGATCAATATTTTAAAAAATGACTGCGGAAAATTGGAGCTAATTGGATGTCTGTTTCTGTGTAAAAACTAAAAAAAAATTAAAAATTTCCTCAGTTGCAGAACACAGTTTTGTCAGTGGTGTTGTCATTGCAGTAATCGTTTGTTGCTATGATACAACCACTGATCCTCACTATCCAGGCATAGTTGGTTTTTCAGTGACTTTAACTGCACTGGATGCGAACAGTTAGCCAGCATTTGGATGAACAATGTTAGGTTTGCTGCCAGTCATCGTCCAAGCACTTATCTTGGGTGGCATCTTGTCAGTGTCTGGAGCCTGTAGGATGTCCCTGGCTTGGGATGCCACTCCATTACAGGGCACACATGCTCACACACTGGGCAATTTAGAGGTGCCAGTTAACTGCACACACTGGCGGTATTTAAACACCCAACACTGGAGGTGACATGAAACAATGCTACACACTGAGACACCCAACTGTGGTTTTGTTTTATGAACAAAAAGCATAGACATTAACTCCAATGTAAAATCGCAGGTTTGCCAGACCTCGTCCCAGATCCATACTATGTCCAGGCCTCCACGTACATCCAGCATGCTCACCTCTACTCGCTACGCTGTGCCGCTGAGGAGAAGTGCCTAGCCAGGTAAGTGGGCTCATCACTCGGGGCAGGGTCTGTTCTCTAGCGGGCTGCAGAGGGGAGCAAGCTCTCTGTCCTTCTGAGTCTCTGGCCTGTCTTTCCATCCCTCTTGGAGCATGTTTTTGCATGTCTGTAACGGTAACGTTGCTGCCTTTCAGTAACAGTACAGCCTCTGCCGTTCTGTAACAGTGCAGTTACTGACTGTCTGTAACAGTACTGTGGACATATGCACCAGCTAGGGCTCATATGTCAGTGAGCTGTTTTGTGGCATTCAGTTGAAATTCATAGTGTTATTTCTTGTTTTCAAATTACAAGGTGAGCTGGATGCAGCACAGTGAGTAACCTACCAGGACTTTCACATCAGACTTAGTTGGTTACCTGTGTGTTTACTCTGGTAACCATTAGACGGCTTACAAATTTATTTTATAGCTCCACGAAATAAATCTTCCAGATAATCTATAACTGGGATCCATACTCACCAAAACAGAGACATTAGGTGTGGTTGAAATCAGAATCTGCTCACATTAGAGACATTATGTATTACCATGTTTTAGGAAGCATTCCAGATAGATTGGTGCTTGTCATGCTTCTTGCTGTTGTTCCCAGTGACTTTGTGTTTGGCCCAGTGGATTCTCTGCCCTCTGACGGGGGGATCTGAAATGCCGCAAACTGCCGTCCTGCCAGCTCTCACACGCGTCCTAACGATCGCGGCCGGATGATCCTTCTTCACAGCCCCGCTGGCATGCCCAGCTGGTGGAGCACTAATTGCAGGCAGATGGCTCGATGTGATGCCCCATTCCTAGCAGCTACGCTAACATGCACTCAGGATGACACACACAGCACTCCAGTCCTGCGTTGATTGGTATTAAACGTGTGCATTTCCTGCACAGCTTCCTAGGGGGCGTTGGAGAGATCTCCAAAGGCTCTGCATCCCATTTCACTTTTCTGTCCATCGTAATGGGAAGCGGCATCTTAGAGTCAACAGCCACATATCTGCCTGCACTGTCAGAACAAGCATGTTTGTCCGTCCGTCCTTCCATCCATCCATCCATCTGTCCTTCCATCCGTCCGTCCATCCATTTATCTTCTTTCCTGGTCAGGGTCATCAGGAAACATGTTTGTATTAATAGTATGAGTAAAATATCGCTTGAGTATACAGGAACATAAACCGTTAGAAATGTTTAATTCTAATAACAAAAGAATATTCTCAAATCTGAAAATGGTATCAGAGAGTTCAGGTTGTCAGTGGAGAATTCTGGGGGTGAATGTTCCCTCTCTATGACTTCTTTACATTGTGGGCGGGACCATCGTCATGGCATTCTCTGTTTACCTGCAGCACTGCCTACGGCTCTGAGGTCACCGACTACGACGTCCGGGTGCTGCTGCGCTTCCCACAGAGGGTTAAAAACCAGGGTACAGCTGACTTCCTGCCCAACCGGCCTCGGCACACCTGGGAGTGGCACAGCTGTCACCAGTGAGTATGACACTCATTCTCAGTGGGGTAACAACAACGTTACCAGTAAGTATGACACACGCTTTCAGTGGAGTAACAACGGCTGTTACCATTGAGTATGACACACGCTCTCAATGGAGTAACAACAACGTCACCATCGAGTATGGCAGTTGGTCTCGGTGGAGTAACAGCAACATCACCATAGTAACACATGTTCTCAGTGGAGTAACTACAGTACAGTGTCACCATAGTAACACATGCTCTCAGTGGAGTAACAACAGCATCACCATAGTGATACACACTTGCTCTCATGGGCAGGTCCTGACAGTGGGGTTAGGGGGCTCACGTCTGCTTTGCCTCCACCTTCTCCCTTGCATGCATCAAACTAAAGGGTCACTCATCCCTTTCCAGTTTTCCCTCACACACTGACCTTTGCAGTGGGCTGACCCAAGCCCTCCCTCCATGGCAGCCAGCCATACTCCCCGTGTGACCTGCAGGAGTGAGTAGCGGATCAGGAGGCTCGCTGCATGACATCAAGGTGGAATCATCAGGGATTTCACACGCCACACGACTGACCCGCTGCTACAAACCCTGAGCACCTGCCTGCCTCCTTCCATCATAATTTATTCAGGGCTGTGTTGAATATGTGCCAGAGAAGCAGAGAGATTCGCCGTACCGTGGTAAAGGTCCTTATGCCAAAGGTGGAGGAGTCAAGCACTTTAGTCATCAACTGCAGTGACTGCTGACCTGCTGAGACAGATATCATGGCTTCCGTTTGCCATACAGAAAACTTCCTGCCTCGGCGGCAAATATCAGACCTCCTACACATAATACTCTTCCTCTCAAACACCGCTCTAGGCCAGGAAGGCTGTTAAACCTGAAATGAAATTTTTCAATTCTTAGGATCTCTTGTATGTGTGCGTGTGTGTGTGTGTGTGTGTGTGTGTGTGTGCATGTGTGTGTGTGTTTCCATAGATCACACTTGAGGACCAAAATGTCCCCAAAGTGTGGTAAAACCTGAAACTTCCTTACATTTGGGGACATTTTTCAGGTCCCCATTTGGATAATGTCAACTTTATAAAAGTCTGTGAATGCAGTCAAAAAAGTAAAAATATCAAAAGTCTTGTATTTTGTATAATTGTATATCTTGTATACTTTGGGTAAGGATAGGGCTGGGTAGGGGTTAATCGTGTGGTGATTTGGATTACGGTCTTTCCCATATAAATGAATGGAAGGTACGTCCACGTATGTTTGCATGCGTGGATGTGTGTGTATGCATGTGTGCGTGTGTGTGGGCACGTGTGTATGTATGTATGTGTGTGTGTGTGTGTGTGTGTGTGTGAGCGGGTTTACCTATCCTTATGGGGACACAATGTCCCCATAACGTGATAAATATCCGTTTTTTTCCCTTATGGGGACCGGTTTCCTAAAAATCAGTGACTGCTATGAAAAAACTAAAAATGCAAAAACTCTTGTATTTCGTTAGGTTACTTATGATTATGGATAGGGCAGGGTGGGGGTTAAGGTTGTCATCGTTAGCGTTAGCATTTTTCCCATTGAAATGAATGAGCGGTCCCTATAAGGATATGTTTACCCTACATGTGTGTGTGTGTGTGTGTGTGTGTGTGCATTGAAATGAATGAGCGGTCCCCATAAGGATATGCTTACCCTACATGTGTGTGTGTGTGTGTGTGTGTGTGTGCATTGAAATGAATGAGCGGTCCCCATAAGGATATGTTTACCCTACATGTGTGTGTGTGTGTGTGTGTGTGTGGTGGAGCACAGGGTAGCACTCTGAGATACAGGCCACTGTAAGGCCCCCCCGTCCAAGCAGGCCCCTTCAGAAAGCCAGGGCACCCCCCCCAGAACTCGAGCTGCGTCTCGTGGGCTTGCTGCAATGGCCCCCAGCACAGACCATAACAGATGTTTCCAAGCATGGTTGAAGTGCTGAATCTGCAAGGGATGTAAGATAATGGCAACGCATCAGTCCTTCCAGGCTATTCCGCGCGTCATGCAGAGCAGAACCAGTCAGTGTGCAGGCTGTACCAGGTGCCCCCGTCCTTAAGCCAAGCCCCTGAGTGCCAATGAGTCTATTGATTGGCATTGTATTCTGCACCCCCCTTCCCCCGCATTCCTACCTCGCAGACATTACCACAGCATGGATGAGTTCAGCCACTATGACCTCCTGGAGGTCAGCACGGGCCGCCGGGTAGCCGAGGGCCACAAGGCCAGCTTCTGCCTGGAGGACACCACGTGTGACTTCGGTCACCTGAAGCGCTACGCCTGCACGGCACATACTCAGGTAGGGGGAAGGTGGCGAAGGCCAAGGGGGAAGGGCAGCCTCTATGTTCACATCTCTCTCTCTCCTCGTCCTCAGGGCCTGAGTCCAGGCTGTTACGACACCTATAATGCTGATATTGACTGCCAGTGGATCGACATCACAGACGTGCAGCCAGGGAACTACATACTCAAGGTGAGAACGAGGGAGAACCAGCCCCTGTTTGTCTGCTTTTTTATCGGATTGCTGGATTAAATCCCAGCAGGAGAGTCGTCTTAAACAAGACATTTAACCTGAATTGTCCCTGTAAAATATCCACCTGTGTGGAAAAACTTTAAGTGCTTCACGTTAAAGCATCAGCTGTAAATTCTGCAAGTGCTGCAGAGATTTGGAGAAGCAGAGACCAAAAGCTATAAAATTGTAATGATTTCGTAATGATGTTGGACCGGAGCCTCTGGTGGGAGATGGAGGAAGTGTGTAAAATCGCTCTTTGCCTGCTTCCTCTGTGTCTCCAGCTCCAGGTGAATCCAAAGTACAAGGTGGCTGAGTCCGACTACACCAACAATGTGGTGCGCTGCGACATACACTACACAGGCCGCTACGTCACCACCAAGAACTGCAAGCTGTCCCAGTGAGTATGCCCCCCCCCACATACGGGCACAGGCTGCCCCCCCCGCCCCCTGCATACAGGCACAGGCTGCCCCCTCCCCCGCCCCCTGCATACAGGCACAGGCTGCCCCCCCCCCCACATACAGGCACAGGCTGCCCCCCCCGCCCCCTGCATACAGGCACAGGCTGCCCCCCCCGCCCCCTGCATACAGGCACAGGCTGCCCCCCCCCCCACATACAGGCACAGGCTGCCCCCCCCGCCCCCTGCATACAGGCACAGGCTGCCCCCTCCCCCGCCCCCTGCATACAGGCACAGGCTGCCCCCCCCCCACCCCCTGCATACGGGCACAGGCTGCCCTCTACAATGAAGACTTTAATTGGATCATGACTGTTTGTATCAGACTCTGCAGTGCCGCACTTAAATGTGACGAAAATACTGAACATTTTTCAAAAAAACTCCATTATCTTCTTCCCTAGGAGAGACAAATCTGAAAAAAATGTGATGTGGTGGAAGGTTTTTATGATGTTAACAGAGGAAGGTTTTTATTTACCTTAGGTTTATGTAGACCTGGGAAATATTTAGTTTTATGCCATTGTCGATTTTAAAATCAATCTGTAAGTCTGTAATCTGTAAATGGCCAAATTTTCATCTAACAGGTCATGCAGTCATGAGGTATTAATAATGTACTGATACATTGGATTGATAAACATTAATTGAATGAGAGTTAGTTTACAGTGTCATCTCTTGTGCTATTTATTCTGGAGTGAGTGTAACAATCGGAGCTATTAATCAGATGTCATAGTCATTGTGGAGTTCGGTGCTCATTTGTGTTTTTTTGCTGTGATTTCTCTCTTCCTCTAGGTCCTGATCGCTCCTCTCGGAGGCTCCTGTCCAGGGAGGATCGTTCCCCCATTCTGACATGAACAGAATCCGTTTAATGCTTTCATCGCCGGTTTGCTTTAGTGGACCTCAATCTCCCCGACTAACATGAGTATATTTACACAAGGCCACGCTGGAGTGAAGAGTCACCTCACTGGGCCTCCAGATGTCGACATTCCTCACGTTCTCCAGTCCCCTGTCAGGCACCCTTTTCCTCTGGAGCTGGTCCAGCGTGTGTTCAGTGCGTTGGGAAGCAGCCCCATATGTCACCGTTCAGCAGCCTTCCACCCTTTGTGCCTTTGGAATGAGGTATCTTCATGTGCACAGCTACACGTATGTCATTTGTTTTTTTAATTTTCCTCTGTTTCCACAAAATACCACATTGGCCTTCTTGAACCCTCATATTAACTAGATACGTCTTGGGAGTCGAAAACGTTTCACTCCAGATGTATGTGAAGAAGCTAGCGCCCCTCAGAGGCGAAGTACTGTAAGAGCAGCTGAGGGGCATCCTTCTCTGGATTCGAGACATGAAGCTGAAAGACGTGCTGAAGCTGCACTCACACGTGCGCAAACAGGCCAGCTGGGGCCCAGCTTACACCCCAGTAGCCTCTCGATCCCCCCCCCCCCCCCCGGGATTTCCCGACACCGCCCTCACCGCTCAGAGCTCCAGTCACTCATTGGCGATTTTATGTGAATGTACATAATTTACTGTTGCATGAAGCATTTAAAAATGTGTTTTTTATCTTTATCATTCTGTAATTTTTAAAACGATCTGTTGTTTTCTTAATATCTCCAGTACTGTGTTTTTGGGGTCTTCTTCCACTCTTCTGAAAAAAAGACCAAAAATGTATACTTGGTAGTTTTATGTGATACTGCAGCCTGTGTACCAACACCAGCTACTGCTCCAAGGCTGGTCCAGGTGCGAGGGGCAGCACAGCAGGGAACATACCTCTGAATTAGGGACTTACTGTCTTCAGTGGGCATTTTAGACCTCAGGTCTGCTTAATGTCTTATATGCTGACTAATTTCCATTTTTGCAAAGATCCTGGAGGTCTCTGAAAGCCTCAAAGGGAACAGACTCATATCAAATCCCCAAGAGAAACTGCGCATCATTTCCTGTGTATTACAGCGTCTCACAGATGGAAGTGAACATTATATATACATGCGACGATTAATCAAGCTTACCTTATATTCAGGTGATTCACTGGGTTATCTCTGTACTTCAGCACCACAGTTGCCTAGATATGTGTTTGATCTTAGACGACCTTAGATGTGATCATTCAACTGTTGAAAATTTCTCATTGTGGTTAATATGCTTGAAATATTTTGATATTCCCTGAACTAACAATAAAAATGTCACAGTGTAAATATTGTGTTTGCAGGAGCGATGTGGGAGAGGGGAGTACAATCGTGCGACTGATCCTCACACTGCTCTGTGCCCCATGTTCCGGAATCACGTCTCCCACGTTAAATGATCCTTCCCGCTGCCAGCGGGGGGGCAAGCTTTGCCCCGCTGATGACTGTCATTATTCACACATATCATCTGCAGTTACATTTCTGGCTCACATTGTCACTAATGACTGTCACGGGGCCCCCATCTTCTCAGGGTGCCCCTGGGCGACATGTCATGCTTCTCGCTGTCAAACACCAGTTTGGATGCTTATAGATTTATCTGTAAGACGCTCTGAGTTTGAGCGGCTCGGTAGAGCAGGACACAAAATCAATGCACAGTCCATACACAAGAAACACAGCAAAATCTGTCAGAAGCTAAGTCATTACAAATACAAGGCTAAAGTGGGCAGGAGACCCACAGACTTATATTATGCTTAATCTATATTTAAGGGGGGAATTTACTGCAGTCTTCAATATAAATATTAGTCTTAGTCCATTGAGATGCTGGTCGAGTCTTTAGCTAGCTAAAAATCTGCCTCGTAACATGCTGTTATACAGACACTTGAGAGGCCTTGTGGGACACAGGATTTGCATGTAAGGATGAGGAAAACAAGCCCACAGACTGTAAAACAGTGTTTTTCATAGAGGCCTGTCAGTCTGCTACATGGAAGCCCTCCTTCAATCCCTCTCCTTCAGCCTCTGGGTGGGTGCAGCCCTTCTGGTGTGCAGTTGATATTCACGCTCAGTTAATCACTCTGTCTTGAAGCGTGGCCCTCATGGGCCGTAGGGTTTAAGTGGAGTGCTGGAGCCAAAGCGTGCCTGGATGTGTAATCCCAACTGGATGTGTTATCCCAACTGGATGTGTAATCCCATATGAGGTTCCATAAAGGCCAGCATCAGTTCTGCATGGCGAAGAGCACTGGATATATCAGATGAGCCTTCCGGATCATCACAACACACAGGCGCCGCGGGATACAGCTGGGGAGGGCGGCGTTAGTGCCTGCCTGACAGCACGGCGGCACCCGAGCATCCGCTCCATCTGCAGACATCTGCCCGCCTTGGGCGTCTCCCATTCCGGTATGTTCCGCTCAAATCCGATCTATCTCCTGGTTTTTGCCAGTCATCAGATTTGAGCTGCATGCAACTAGTCCAGCCTCCCAGCACCTCTTGGCATCGGCGTGGCTGAAACACACGGTGTGACTATTCATTTTCATGAACATGAGAATGGGTCATTCGTGTTTATGGCAATTGAAAGAGACGGCTAGATTTCCCAGAGGTGAGATGCTACCGGTGCTTTGATGCGGCTCCTTAATGCAGTTGGCTGGGCTGCATTCAGGCCATTGGGGCACAGTGATGAAGTCAGAGGAAGGAGTGGAAGTTCAGAGTGTGTCACCGTCCCTGACTTCCTGACTCTCCTCTGTCACAGCCAAATGTCCACTTACGTTACTGGTGTATTCCCCCCCCCCCCGAAACTTGTTTGTTACTGATCAGGCACATATCCAGATAGTAAAATAACGAGTTTCTATCCCTTTCAAAATTGGCTTCCAGCCCCTGGTTGACAACATCTCCCAGGGGGACATCTCCCCAATCAGCAAAATCTAGGGGTGGGGGGGGGCACAGTGTTGCCTCCCCCATTCCAAAACCTATTTCTGGCTACAGGCCTGCACTGTGCGATGCGGTGATCCTTGCTGTTGTTATAGCTGACTGTTTGGCTTTGTGGAGTCCATCTGAGCCCGACTTTCATCGCATAATCAACCTCATTTGTGACAATATATGAGCTGAGGAAAAGAGGAAATGCCTGGAGTGTCGTTCTCCCTGCTTTCCTCATTGACATTACAGGTTCTTATGGGGAAACGCCAGCTTGATTTTCAGCAGCCAAAGCCATGTTTTTGTTTGTTTTTTTTTTTTAGTGGCAACACGCACACCTTCTGATTGTTAGAGTATTCCAGAAGTCACGGATCACTTACGGCGTGCCGAGGACGGCTTTAGCGCTGCCTCTGCTCGGCGTCTGCCTGGGTTTTGTATGTTCTCACGCAGCTGTGGTCAGAGGCTGGACCCTTACAGACTCCCGGGTCTCCAAGGAGATGCGACGGGAAGAGAGTAGAGAGGAAGCAGCCAGAATGCAGATGACGGGCGGAGATCAGCTCATCCCTGCCAACCAGGACGGAGCTGCATCTTCCAGGCAAACAGCTGCATGTCTCACTGGGAAGTTCATCTCAGGTCTGCCTCGCTGGATATAGACTGACATGTGACAGGTAAGTGTGTGTCCATGGTCCAGGGAAATCAGTCACCATCCCACAGACTGAAAAAAGACAAAGCTGGAGGGCACAAACCATCGGTCAATCAAACAATCTGTCTGCTGTCTGGTGGCCTTGGCACCCCAGGAGTAGCACTTTAAGAGGAACCCTGGGTACCTGACCATGCTCACCTTAACGAGCTCTGATAGCCTGCAGGCACCGTATGGGTGTGGTGGCCCTAGCTGGCCATCACATAAATTGGTGCGGTACGGTGACAGCTCTGGGGATGGCGCTACCCCCCCAGCAGGCCTTCTGGTCGGTCGCTGCGAGCGACAGCGGCCTTTATTCTCACGTCTGTGACGCAGTGCCCGCCTCCGTTAGCCCGTGCCCATCGCCACACCCCTTAAGCCTTGGCCCCTTCCTGCCGTTCTGAGGGCTGTCTACGCAGGTGGCATTTTGCGTTGGCACGCTGGGCAGCGTGGCTCAGGAGCAGGAGGGGGGTCAGAAGCCAAAGCTGCCCCCCCCCCTCCTGCGAGGTGGCTCACAAGTCACGTCACGCCGCTCAGCTTTTGGCCATCTGCTGCCACCCCCCAACCCCCCCCGCCATTGTATCACTGAGATGTGTTCAAGTGCAGCCGGATCCAACAACCTGGCCTGTAATATTTCCAGTCTTCCTAATATAATCCAATATTAATGTCAGAATGCGTTTGGACCTCTTTGGATGCGGCTCCCCATAGCTACCTGATACATTACACACCATAAGCATTACACCCCCACTGCTGATGTATGTTTCTGTTCCCTTTCAATATGATTTATTAACTTTAAAAAGCACCATATTCAATGGTTCTCTGCATACAGGAGTAACATTTTTAAGGCTGTTTGTATTATCGGGTAATTGCGTTTCAGGCGCCGCTGAGACTCTCTGACACAGTTACCAAATGGAGAGTTACACAGCTGTGACTGCGCAAACAAATCTTTCCTCACTTTTAAATCTAATATAATCCCAGCCTTGTCTGGGAGAGAAAATGGCCTTGTGCAGGAGTGTTCTTTTCTGTGTAGTTTTTCCTCTTCAAAGCAGCAGTTAGTACATATCCAGGTGAGATTATATATAATCTTTACTATCAGGAATGTCTCGTGTTCAGTGAAAGTGAAGACCTCTGTGTTTCTGTCTCTGGGGAAATTGAGACTGTAAATTGCATTATAACAACACTGCAGTGCCATGCAGGCAGAGCGGAGCGCACAGCCTTATGCAACACCGCCTCCTACTGGCAGGTATGCAAACTCTGTCATTCTGCTCACTGAATCGAGCTCTGTTCACTCATAAGAATTAGTGGGTGGGGGCTTTTCTTCACAGTGTAATGCTCAGGTCCAGCTCTGTGGGGCGTTTCTCTCTCTCCCACTGGATCAGCATCCATAAAGGTGGCCAGATGCCAGCAGCGGTCTTTCTGGCAGCTTCCCGTAAGCATCATGACCAGAAATGCCTTTGACCAGCTGCTGATGAGCTACAGGGTACAATCAAACTCAGCTTAGCGATCAATGCCTGAGTGCACAACAATTCCATAGTAATACTTACTGTTAGCTACACCATTGTATTTTGTTTGCATGTCAGGTATAATTCCCACAGTAGGTGAGTGTGAGTGTGCTCTATGCTGCCTCCCTGTGGCCTTGCCTGGGACTAGTGCTTAGAAGGTGTTTTGGTAATATTACTGCGGATTCCAGCCACGTGACTCAGCATGAAGCAGCTAGAAGAGGGATAATATTATCAATATTATTATTGTTGCTGTTTATACTACTAGTCGTACTACTACTAATAATAATAATAATAATAGCATTATGATTATTATTATTGGGTGGGTCTTTCTCAGATTTTGAAGACCCATTGGAATGGTGAATATCTGGACCTGCGATAAATTGCACCAAACATAAAGTGCCCCATTTCGTGGTAGCAAAGGGCGTCGGAAATAGGGGGGATGGGGGGACCCCCTCCCCTTCCCAAAAAATTATTTAATTAATTAAGAGCACGTTCCTTATCTTTTATTATGAATCTGCGAATTACTGAGGTCAACTCTCTGTACATGCAGAGCAGGAGGGTGAAACATACACCTAACTATCATTATACACCTGATACGACTATATCAGACACAATCATTTTACCATATGGATAATTTATTTTTGTATAATGGCATCATTATTATTCAAATATTTTTTAAAAATCTTTCTTATATTGCTTCCTTTCACAATGTAATTATCACATGTTTGCCCATTGTGATGTCACAATATATATCGCACCCCCCATCGCCACCGCCCAATGTCATATGCCTTCTAAAACCCCTGGTGGCAGCAAAGTGAAACCCAATTGCACTTGACCTTATGACCACGATAACTCAAAAAGTGATTGATGGATCTGATTACCACTTCACAAAAACATTATATGGATGAAGCTCTACACCTGATTTTAAGACAGATCGCATCAATCTTGAAGCAGCAGCATTAGGAAGGAAAATGTGGCTGGAGATCTTGCGAACAAAGTAACTCTCAAAGTACTTGAAAAATCTTCCTCAAATTTCCCAGGAACATTGTATACATGAGGATCTGGGGCCTATTTCCAATTTGAGACAAATCACACCAAAACATAAGCAGTGTTACTTAGCGGTGGCACGTGAAAGAACAGCTACTGACAGAGTTCTGGTGAAGTTGATTGCACTGAGTGCATAAAGTCACATGAAGTTGGGCTATTAATGAAGATATTTTGGAGAAGTGGGGAGATTGTGTAGGGCTAGAGATTGTATAGGTTGGGGGGTATGGGAGGGTTAGGGATTAGATTGCGGCAGGCTAACACCATTTACGTATAATTATTATTTGCAGCCTGAATCCTGTCAGTGTGCTAACTAGCATACATCAAGCATTTGGGCAAGAAAAACTCATTGAGACAAGAGGCAACATCTGTTTAATTATTTCCCCAAAATGAAAATACAAAAAAGGGGGGAAAATGAATAAATACTCATAAAACAGAGATCCCTTTTGGGCGATATTACAGCTGGATGAATGAAAGAGCACAGCATGAAAGGTAATTGGCACATATACACACACACACCAAGGAGTTTTAGTCAACGAGAGATCTACCTGACTTCAGAAGTCCTTTAATTCACAGGAATAGGGAGAGCTACAACAGTGAGGTGTCAGCATACACTATAGTGCCTCTATTCGTGTGGCATCGCTGTTACACAGAAAACTGTCAGTGGCAGAGGCGTGCCGCCCTGCGGGAGGCGCTATAACCCCTCCATCTCTACACAACACAGGGTTTAGATAAGACATGAAGCGGAGCTGAAGTGTCGACAGCTCTTTGCTGGACACTTCTGATTTTGTCCACGCAGCTCGTAAGGTTTCTCTGGGCTTTACAGGGGAGCTAGTATTCTGTATGGCTAGGGGTTTCAAAGGAACATTCTCAAATTTTTCTCATTCTCTCCCCAAGCAGGGCCAGTAGCCATACTGTCTATCGAGGCATCCCTGTTCGTTTGGAGGACCTCGTCAACGTAGCACCCTGCCTTCTCGGCAGTCCACCAGGGACAGCCCCTCCCTACCCTTCCTAGTCATCCCCTTTTACTTAGGTCTTTTCACTTCCCCACTGGCAGAGAACATGAACCACTGTGCTGCCCCGATAACAGAGACTGGCAGGTCTGCGTGTCACGCCCAGCGAGACGCCAATGCCGATGTCCACACCCGCAGAACAAACACAAAAACAGCAGTTTCACAAAGTCACATTTCCATTGAATAAAAACACTTAACGTCATATATAGAGAGCTCTGTACAGCTTAACTGAGAGCACAAAGAAATAATCATGATATCACTGCACCTGCAACTCACAATCCATGAAGCTCCTGGCACTAATTTTACCACATTCTGTACAACATATACGTTTAAACTGTACAAGTTTAACCTTAAACAGGAGTATCCAGGTTCAAAAGCACTCCTCAGGTAATAGATGACAGACATTTACTACTGCAAAAGAACCAGCCCCTTCCTAGCCCTGTTCTGCACTCAACTGCCTATAGTCAGGACTTTGGAAGTGTTGGACTTTGGAACTTGATATATGCCTAACCTGCTCCCTCTGCCCTTGAGCCCTTAACCCTGCTCCCTCTGCCCTTGAGCCCTTCACCCTGCTCCCTCTGCCCTTGAGCCCTTAACCATGCTCCCTCTGCCCTTGAGCCCTTCACCCTGCTCTCTCTGCCCTTCTTTCTGCTCAGATCTTAGTCCCAGAGAATGCCACATGTGCTCTTTGTGTTCTATCCACTATCAGAACCCTTGTTGGTTCTGACAGAGACTAATAGTGTCAGAAACAAGCAGGTCAGTGATGAGCTAAGCTGAGCTGAAGATCTCCTGAGGGATTTTTTTTTGTACAGAATTTTACAAATGTGTAACATTAATCTTCTCATGAAAGTACTATGCTCATGGAATGTTTTCACTTTTACTTTCTTCAACAAATGCTAAAAAAAAACTACAGATACTGTTTTGCTTTGTAAAACTTTGCTGTGAGGAGTGGAGATGAGAAAAGGGATACCAGCCAACTCCGTGTGCTGCGCTAAGTTAGCCTGATTAGCTCTGTGTGGATCGCAGCTCGCTCCTCCCTCCCTGGAATGTCTCATTTATCAGTGCTCAGGGAAAGCCTGCTACCAGCAGGGGCAGCTTTTACACTCCTGTAAGGTAGATACGCTTTTGGGTTGTTCTCCTGCCACTTTGAGCAGTTTATATTCGCCGTGCTACAGCCTGAGGATGCCTGGAATCTGACCTAAGGCAGAAACCCTGTTTATCCATGATTTAACCAACAAAACACCACCAAGTCTTCCAGGCACGCTTTGGGATTTCATGTAAAACATTGCAATAGCACTGAAGTACTGTTCATCACGGGATGGAAAGGATGGAGACACAGTCAGTTATCAGTACAAGCACTACAAGGCGACATATTTACCCAGAGGAACAGCCAACTGGTTAGCCTCCAACCCAACCACGTCTACGTCTGCAAGCAAAGCTTCTTACATCTACCTATCACAAAATACACATACTTATAGGAGTGTGGAGCAAGTAGAACGAATTCAGCTAGCATCACTATCACAGCTACATCCTTAAGGCAGTAAATTCCCCCAAAATACAGACAAATAAAAGGAAATGAGGTAAATGTTCAGTCCATTTTACAACAACAAACGCAAAGTGAAACTTTACATTTTCTTTTCGAAAGGCAGGAATAAACTCATTGTGCTGTTTTCACACAAACACACACACACACACACACATACATATACATATACAGAGCTCCAAACTGCAGCTATTTTAGACTGCGTGTATTTCAGGAAAATACAGAGATACAAAAAGTTTTGGTTCCTGATATTTTTTAAAAGTCACCAAAGTAGTATTACTGCTGCAGCCTAAAGAATTCCAGAGGGGATGTAAATTTAAACTGAACAAAAATAATTCCAGTCACTACTAATAAAGGTCTAATGACAGACTGGTAAGTCTACCCGCACGCCTGATTGGCAGTTATAACCTAATCTCACAGAAACTCTCTACTAAATGGCAGGAAGATTAAAATGCGAGGTGATTTACCTCAGTTGTGCACAAGAGTTGTTATTGCTTTTCCTTATTCATCAACATCAGTCCCTTCTAATACTCCACAATGCTAGTTAAGTTTTTAAAAATGGAGTGCAATTGGGGAAATGTGTACAATGCTGCCATCTACAGTGTGATAAAGAAAAACACAGTGAAACTGACCACTGTGGTCTTATAGTAACAATTAGACTTTGAGTTGTTAGATTATACATGTATAATCTATATTCTAATAGATTATTATAGTGTTCAGTAGTAAATTCACACCTTAATAATGATGCACTGTGTCTACCTGTAACAATGATACACTATCTGTAGGGTCTGCTTTATATGTGCCTCAAAGTATACGGATCAAAATTATGTAGCAGCATCTTGTGAACCGTGTGCCTAACTTCTGAGAAGCAACAAGAGTCTGCCGGGACCACAGACCCACTTCTCGGGGCCCCATCAGAGCAAGCTAAGGAAGCAGGGGCCACGGGAGAGTGCCCCCCCCCCCGAACCGGAAACACCCCGTGAGAGCAGTTCGGTACAATTTCAGTGGTAAATTCAGCAACGGGGCTAAAAATAAGCATAGGAAGCACACATTTAAAGGGGGTGTTAAAAAATATCAGAAACACTCCTTTTTGTGGGACCTCGCAGCAGAGCTGACCCCCGAGTCCCGCCCCCAATCCCCCCCCCCAGCGCCTCAGTACTCCGGGGCCTGCTGGTGCATGGCCCCCTGCGCAGCCCCCATAGCCGCCTGTTGCGCCGCCTGCTGCACATGGGGGTTCTTCCAGGCTCCGGTAGCCCATTCCTGCTGCGCTTTGCTCATGCTGCCGCCTGTGCCCCGGTAGTAGTTGTGCACCTGTGTCAGCGAGGGGGGTTCGGGGGGGGGGGCGATAGAAGACAATCAGATTTGTGGGGGCCAAACCCAGGATCCAACCCCCACAACCAGTCCAATAAGCGGACCTAGTTACCTACAAGCTTGGCATGCAGGAGGAGAGTCAGCAGCAAGCGAGCATTCGGGATTGGCCACAAGTATCTGCATCTTCACCTGCTCACTTCCTCTGGATTGGCCACATGTATCTGCACCTTCACCTGCTCACTTCCTCGGGATTGGCCACATGTATCTGCACCTTCACCTGCTCACTTCCTCGGGATTGGCCACGTGTATCTGCACCTTCACCTGCTCACTTCCTCGGGATTGGCCACGTGTATCTGCACCTTCACCTGCTCACTTCCTCTGGATTGGCCACATGTATCTGCACCTTCACCTGCTCACTTCCTCGGGATTGGCCACGTGTATCTGCACCTTCACCTGCTCACTTCCTACATTCTTTGCTATTATTTCATTCCAGCTGCCCTGTACTCTTAGCCAACAGGAAGCTAAAGCGGATAAGCAGGCCGGGGGGGCAGAACGTGCTGGCATGAGGCGGTGGGAGGTAGTGTGAGCGCAGTGTGGCGCAGCCCCTACCCTGGTCAGGGCGATGAAGGAGAGCACGGCCACCGCCGTGAACATGATGGTGGGGATCAGCATGACCACGGCCGAGCCGATGTTGGTGCTGAAGAAGGTGATGGTGGCGAGCCAGCCGCTGCGGCAGAGGAAGGGGAGCCAGTGAGTCAGGCAGCGAGAGCCAGATACATGAGGGAGCCGGTTCAGGACCCATCTTGTTCGCTCCGGGATGAAATACTACAGGTACAGGTAAAGTGCCACGCGTGCTCTTTGGCCGAGCCTGGTGCACCTCAGGCTGACATTACAAACACCGCTCTGCATAACAAGAGCTTGGCGACCAGTAAGCAGGCAGACAGACGTGCAATAGGAAGAGAAGGAAGCCTCACCACACCCCCCAGCCTGGGATTCCCACAGTCTGGATGATGCTGATGACCACCTGGGCCATGAAGACGAAGAAGAACGCCATGAAGTTGAAGGAGCTGTCCGTCCTGTCAGGAGACGAGGGGCAAGGAAGAGGAGCTAAGAGCAGAACCAAGCAGGAAACTACAGCAGATTGTTAGGGCCGGCTGTTGGCTTTGTGTTTAACCTGCATCTAACCTGCAGGGTCATAACGGGACACGTATTCGTCATGTACCATTCGGCTCTCTGCAGACTATGAAACCAACGAATACATTCATTGATACAGGTGGAACTTAAATTCACAAGTAGATGTTCACCACCGGAAACATTTTGCTTATTGTGGGTGTGACAGGCTCACAGCTAATGCAGGTAACAGTCATAATTGACAGTTTGGGAGTATTTTGGTTTTCCAGTGACACCAACACTGGAGATAGACTTACTGATGAGACCAAGACTGTTGGCTCCATTATACTCAACTCTGATATGTTTCTGGAAGCACGTGCAGCTTACTAACTTGTTTGAGATGATCTTCAAGTGTGTGACCTGTGCAAGGCAGAAGCAAGAAGCAGCCTCTGCAAGTTAGTCTGTCTGTGGCATCTAAGGGGCTTTTGCCAGGAAATGGAGACTGGGGTAAAAAAAATTAACTACGGCTATTGGGGTGTTCATAGCTGCAGATATGCAACCATACTTGGTAGTAGAGAACATAGGATTTAGTTCACTATGATTTACGATGCAGTCTTATTTTTGAATTTTTATTTACATTACATATTTATTTTTTACAATGTATAAATAGCCATTGCTATGGTTTTGTTATTCATACACAGAGACATTGCCTTTGGTTTAAGGCTGTTCCTAATTTTGAGTTTGCAGAATAAATTCTGTTTTCCCTGCTGTACTGAAACTGAGCCAAACCGTGAACCCAAAACCGTGGTTTCTGTCGAACCGTGAATATTGTGTCCCGTTACACCACTACAAACCACTCTGCTGTTTAATCAGCACGGCGGCAGCCCACTCACTTGAAGGCTTTGTAGATAGGCCGAAACCAACAGACGTAAGAGCAGGGCGTGAACAGGATGAGCCAGAGGATGGCCATGCCAAAGTTAGTAGCCCCGCCTCCGCCGCACATCCACGCCAGGCAGCCAATCAGATTCACTGCCAACGTGGCGCTGTTCACTGGAAAACCAGAGGAGAGACAGGCTTCTTCACGGCGGACCACGCACACAGGGCGGAAAAACGACAGAAGGCATCTTCCTAACGGGGGCGCGGTTAGCCAGCAGGGACAGAAGAGCTCGGTGCCGAAGTGCGAATTGTCTGGCACTGCTCCCAACGTACTCTGCCAGTGACACCTTCCCTTCTCATTCACTCTGTCCTTTTGGAGGCTGGACCAGCCGCCCAGCTACCAGTCCGACGGGCCCGACTGCAGTTTGTTTCGATACGTCACTTAAATGGTCGTAGGGAACTGAGAAAGTTCCTGTAACAGGCGGAGAGCTCTGCAGTGATGCGGCAGTGAAAATCTGATCGCTTTCTGTAGACAACAGGACTGAGAATGAACAGAAGATCCGGCGTTCGGGTCTCCCGCAGAAACCCAATATCTATGCTCAGCTAATGCTACGTGTGCATGACTGGGGCGTGTTTCAGGCTGCAGGCTGACAGATGTGCCATGATACTACAGGGCCGCGTGGCAGCGTGCTGATGGACGCCGCTGGCTCGGCGAAGGGTGGAGAATCAAAAATACTGCGGGAAAGCCAGGGAAACTAGTTAGTAAAATGAGCTCGACACGGCATTCGCAATGTTAATGTTTGCTCAGCCTGGAAGGAGAGAGCAAAAAAACAAACAAACACGCAGGCAGTTTACGGCAGAACAGACAGAGGAAGGGAAACTGCCAGGGTAGCAGGCAGAGGTGCTATGCACACGCCGCGTCTGAGAGCGGGGAGGAGAGAACAGCCTCACGCAAAGCGGGGGCAGAAATACCGGGTACCTTCTTAACGCTTATCTTAGAGGAGATCTGCAAAAAACACAGGGAGCTCATTACCACAGATGATCCTCAGGACACATTCAAGCTGAACATCTCATGTGACCCGAACAGAGGACGTGTCCCTTTAAGAACATGACACCATATTTACAGCCTAAACATTGCCCCAAGGTGTGGAGTCCTTCAGGTATGACGGCACTTCAGACGGGACCCGAGCGAGCTGACAGGGCTGCGCCCATCCCCAGGCCTCCAGAAGCTATGTGGAGGACGTGTGTTCGCACGTGACTCACGGACAATACTCACGGATCCAGAGGTAGTACAGCCTCTTGCACATGGTGCGATGCTGGTCTGGGATTTCATTGAAGTCCTGATAGAAGCATGGCTTCAAAGGAATGAAGCGAGGCAAGGGGGGAAAGTTGTTTTCTGCAGCAGACAGGGCCGACATGTCACAGCGTCATCGAGCAGGAAACCCGGGGCACCCTCCACACAAAACAATCCAAACCTTCAACTTAATTTACAAGCAAGGGCTTCTTAGATTTGTGACTTAGGTTATTCAAATACACCTGCAGTAAGTGAGATAGAGAAGGGAGTTGCCATTAACTTGTTTAAAGGATAACTAGTCTCTTGGACTTTATCACTGGGGACAGCCCAGTATAATTCTTATGTGTTTAAATAACAAAGATTCAGAAAACTAGTTAGTAACACATTAAAATTCCTCGAGAATTTACCAAACCCAGAACAATATTGCACCTCCGAAAACAAATAAGCAGAACTTCATACCGGCCATGGAGGAATCTGGACTTATTCCACTGATTGCTGTAATCCAATATTCTCGTACTTTCTCCCGAGCCTGAAGTATAAAACATCACGTTATGTCAGCGTAGATCCATGTCACCGTCTCACCTCTAGCCACAAATTAATGGCATAAAAAACCACAACTATAACCAATTGCATAAATGTAACAAGGATGAAAATTGCCCTAAATCACACACATCCACATCCATTTTCAGACAGCCTGATTTCAATTCAGGTCGTTGCAGTAAAGCAGTATTAGCTAATCATAACGCAAATTATTTTTAGCTCCGCAATAATCAGTCACGTTATCATGAAACACTTAATTTCCAGTCAACCATTTAAGGCTGGGACGGATTCGTTTATTGTAGCGGTGTCTGTCATATATTCAGACCACAAAGAAAAAGGAAACTGTGCATGAGCGAGGCACACATATCACCCTGTCACCTATATGACAGACCAAAAACCATTCAATACCAAAGACGGACGGACCGGGATCCAGCGGGATGTGACGAAGCTCACGCCCAGACTGACACGGCAAGGCGGCCGGCAGCATCGGGCGCAGCACGGCCTCGGCGATGGACATGACTGTGCAGTACCGTGTCATAGCAAATTACACTCACAGCCGCCTAGACTTCCATGCAAAAAAGCCGTCATCTGCATATCACGATCGCGGCCTTGAACTGCACGGCCAGGTAACTGTCGGCTATGGAAAACAAATCTCTTACCTCCTCTCTCCAAGGATGCAACCTACAAAGCAAGGTCTCCGAACTGTATGCTACGGACAATCCCCATTTAACGCAGATTTTTAAAGAGCGATATCGGCCGCACTGATCGGTGGTAATATACAATTTATTTGTTTTTGGAGGATAAATGTAAGGTGTTTTCAGGCTGCGTCCCTCCTATCAGAGTCTGGTCCCCCTGTTAACGCTTCGGTGCCGACGCCGGTCCTCGCGATATCTCCTCGTCCTCCTCCTCCTGCTGGTCCTCCTCCTCCTCCTCCCCGCCCCGATCGCTGCCCCCATCCGCCGCTCTCCTCGGTACTGAAGTCGGTGACATAATGACGCCGACGACAGCTCTCATACTGCCGCTCATTTAATCGTTGTATAGGCTTTTTTATGAAGCTGGGCCGGGATTTAGTAAAGCCAGGAGTCTTTTAAAGAGGATATGACTAGTTTGCGATATTCTATGTGGATCCGTTGAAATGTGCAATCATGGATGCATGGACAAATACATCAATAATAACAGCAATAACATTGATGAATAAGAATAATATACACTGGGTAACGTTTGTACAAGATATCAACAAACTACTCCAGTTTTAAAAATATCAGATATCAACTTAAAATTTACAGCATACTGCTTCAGATTTTGAGGTTTGCAAGATTTAAATCCGAAATATCACCGGATTGTCATGGTCCTCCCAGCCGGTAGAGGCGCTGTCCTTCGCTGGCGCCCTCCGGGGCGCTTCCCAGGCGTCCCTCTTTCTCGTCCTTATCATTGTTACTGCTGTAGTGCTACTGACGGGAAAGTTAAGAATCAGGAAGCACAACTGAGATTAAAACTTTGCCGCTTAACCTGTCGAAAAGTGGGTGACAAGTGTAGATAACACGCTGTCGACTTTAAGGTCCCCCACCGCAGAAAAAAACGAAAGGCAGCGTTGTTTTTAAACTCCTAACTCTGCGTTGTGGAGGTTTCGCTAGGCTGCGGGCTGTCCACCCGGGCTGCGGTCCGCCTGCCTGCTCTCTGTAAACACGATCGAGGTGATTTACAGCCGTCTGTTATAAGTAATGATTTCTGCAGGGTCCCCTTTCCGTTTTCTGTGTGTGACCGTTTCAGACAGAGCTGCAGCCTGTTGAAATGCGCATGATATGCTTTAAAATGTTATTGAAATAAATCTGTCTGTTTCTGAATCCCCGTCTGCTGTAAAGAATTCTGAGTGTCTTCCTTTTCTGTATATTGATAATCAGATTGTTAGAAGCTCCTTAGGTATACTGTAACTTGTTCCCGAATATCTTAACTATACACCATGAAGATCAACAGCTGAACACATTTCAAGACCAAAAATCAGTAATTATAGTCGACGTGTATGTATTTATAAAGAAATTTATGTGACTTATGTTTTATGTATGCTAATCCTGGTGGGTGGGTGTTTACATGCAATACATATATTTTTATATTTCAAGGGTTTCAGAGTGAAATGTAGAAGTTCTGACTGGTGTGTCTGTGTTAGTGCCGGTATGTCGTCGCCTGCCGTGGATGTGGAGTGGGGAGGTGAAGAGGCGGGAGCTGGGCAGCTGGTGAACGACAGATGGCCCCCTGGTGCACCTGAGAGCCAGGAGAGGTTCTTTGTGGAGCATCACACCTGGAGCGATCTGAGGAATATCCTGACAGACAGCCAGCGTGGCCAGTTCAACATGGTGTCCAAGCCGCCTCATGAGTTCCAGTTCGTACTGAAGAACGACCCAGAAGGTCTTCACTCCCATCGCGTGTACTTCCTGGGTGAGGAACAGGATAAACACATCCATTACCAGCTAGCATCCTAAAGGCACTTCCTCTCAAATAGTACCTTTTCCAGTATAACACAGGTCTGGGAACGGCATGTTTATTTTATGATGACCTATGCGTTGATTGGCTAATGGCAGCATTACAGACAGACTTAACAGAACTCAATATCAGGCAGTTAGAGTAAAGAGCAAGATGGAAAAAAACTGTAGTTGAGTAAGATGAGCCTTTGCTTTGCTTGTACTTTGGCCTGCTGAGAAGGTGGCCTATTTCTCTTCACATCAGGCTCTGTAAGGATAGGCCTCAGGTACCATAGTGGTTAAAGGCACTGATTTGTACCCAGAAAGCTGCAGGTCAGATGTTTAGGATGCCACTGGCTGCTGCAAAATATTATAAATTGTTATCTTTAACATCCAGAAGATGCCAGTAGAATTCCAGCGTGGTTCGTAAGTCTTGGTAATGCCGGCCATCTTCTTGTGTGTCTGTGCAGCCATGACCAGCGAGGGCAGGGAGAACACACTGTTTTACGCTGAGATTCCCAAGAGGATCAACAAGCAGGCGCTGCTCTACCTCACATGGAAACCCCTGCTGCTGCACTTCCATGTGAGCATGGCTTCCCCACGGCGTGCAGTCACATGACCCATACCGCCTGCCAGGCAGCAGCGTGTTGTCAGATCCGAGCCCAGGCCGCTTTCCACCTGGGCAGTAGCACATGAAGGACCCTCATAGTGCTGTGCTCCTTCTTTCCCTTTGTTCCTTCACCTCTTCTCCCTCTTCCCCTCTTCCTCTCGCTCTCAGAGCCAAGACTTCGGGGAGTACTATCGAGAGGACGAGCTTCTGCGAGAGAGGAAGCGCATAGGGGCGCAGGGCATCATGTCATACGACTTTCACCGCCCCAGCGGCAGCTTCATGTTCCAGGCCGGCGGCTCCCTCTACACCCTGAAGGATGGCGGCCCCAAAGGCTTCACGGTGAGGCTTCCGGAACTGCCACTCGCTCCTCAGCCCTTTTGAATCCCGCCATGATTGGGGAATGTTTAGGGTAACTGATGGGTTGAGCTGGTGAATGAGGTGCTTGGATGGATGTGAGCTTGTGTACTGGATCATAATGGTTATTCAAACCTTCAGATCCTCTCCCCTGTTTAGAACCAGCCTCTCCAGCCTGAGACAGTGCCCACCTCTTGCCACAACATCCGAATGGATCCCAAGCTTTGTCCCGTGGACCCCGCCTGGTTCTGTTTTGTCCACAGCTGTGACCTCTGGATCGGGAACCTGGACAGCGGGGCGGAGTCTCGCCTCACTTTCGCCCACAAAGGTGACGGTCCCCAGCAGGCCCCTTATAGAGCAGGGTAACCTGTCAGCCCTTAACTCCCGATAGCGCCTCCCAAAGGAAGGCTGAGGAAGGTCACCCTTTCCTAGCCATGTACTGACATCCCTACTGTCGCTCAGGTGAATCCAACCTGAAGGACGACCCTAAGTCAGCGGGGATGGCCACCTTCCTGCTGCAGGAGGAGTTCGACCGCTACACCGGATACTGGTGGTGTCCTGTGGCAGAGTGCGGTCAGTGGGTGCCCCCCCCCCCGCCTCACCCCTGCTGCCCTCTCTCACCTCTTGTGTCTTGATGTGTGTGAACATGAATTTTGTTACTCTTTCTCTTTCTTTCCATCTTCCCCTTTGTTTCATTGATGGGCCAGCTGGTGCTGTAGTGGTTAACACTAGTACCGTCTGTGTTTCGTCGACCTCCTTGAACCACCAGCATTGACGTCCTTTGGCGTATCACACTTTTGTTTTCGCCAAAGGCCCATCGTGTTTGCTTACCGGTCACTCTTGGAGACGGCAGTGGGACAGTCAGTAATTCTCACAGCAGCAGAGTTACTGTGACCCCAACAAAGCCGTAAAACCTATAATATAGCCGTGTTTATGTCATGTGATTTTTTGCTCACTGATTTAAATATTGATTTTGATAGATTAATCTTGAGCAATTAATAATCCTACAATGGTAATAAAATAAAAGGCAAGCCAAATACCAAAAGAACTGATCACTTTAATCAGCACTGCAATTGGATATGAGTGACATTATTATCTGGAAAAGATATGAAAAATGACACCAGTACTATTTTCTCATATTATATTTGTCGAACTAACACACAAACAGAATGGCAAGCTGCTCCAGCCAAAAATAGTGCATCTTACCATTCATTTCAAATAAAAGCATACTCTACCAGTCAAAAGCTTTTGCACACCACAGGTATTCTTGTTAAGCATTAGAGAGTCGAGTGAGCGACTATTAATGAACATATATGTAAAATTAAACAAGTTTATAACATGGAAGGAGTATGTACCAGTGCATGTCTGACATCCGATTAACTGGTTGTGTGGTGATGGCAGAGTCAAATTCTAGGCTGTCCTGTAACTTTACATGCCCTAGTTAACCGTTTCATCCCATGAAACAGAGCAGTATTTAATGTCCTTGTAGAAAGAATGTCTCAAATTTTATAACTGCTAGAGAAGGTTTGATGAATCAAAGATATGACATTTTCCTGCTAGTAAAGGTACTCAAACGGTGAAAGTAGCATAAATTTATTTGTCGGCAAAGAATAGTGAGTGTATTTTTAGTAAACGCTAAGTGACATATAGATGTAGAAAATCTCAGTGTGTGCAAAATCTTTTGACTGGTAGTGTATATTTTTAAATGTTGTACCTGGGTTGTATACAACATTGCTGTATACAGTTGTTTAAAACGGAAACGACAAACATGAAATAGCCAATAAACTATGTCTATTGATCCATCATTTCATAGAATGCATACTGCTTTGGAAAACTTCAGAACAGAGCCGCCACTCTATTAGGAACATTACGGCCTGACGCTGTTAGATTTGCTGCTGTTATTAACACTAACAGCACATTAGCACAAACGTTAGGGCTGCATACACCGGAGTACGTCTTGCTCAGAGGTCAAAGGGGTTTGACGTTCGTTGGCGTGAGAAACGGCGGTTCTAATGTTCAGGAATTGGGCCTGTGACTCTTGATAAGGTTGTTTAAGTTGAATTGCTGCGGAACGTGACTCGCAAAGATGTGCGTGAGCTGCGTACGTTTGCACCCAAGAGGCCCCACTGCCGTGTCCATGCCCCCCCTGGTATAATGCACCCCCCTCACCACTCACAGACTCGGTCGGCGCCCGGGTGCTGAGGATCCTCTATGAGGAGAACGACGAGTCCGACGTGGAGGTGATCAACGTGACGTCGCCGCTGCTGGAGACGCGGCTCACCGAGGCCTTCAGATACCCCAGGGCCGGTGAGCGATCAGTGGGACGTGGTGCGGTGCAGCGGGGGGGGGGGGATTCAACCAGAGAACCCCCTCTCTCGTGCCGCGAGAGGCAATGAATGTGTCGTTCTCGTTTCTAGGGACCGGGAACCCAAAATCCACGCTCAAGTTGCTGGAGGTGACGGTCAGCACTGAGGGAGAGGTTTGTAGAGACTTGGCATTTCTCCACAGCCCTGGGGATTAGGTTTCACAGTGAAGCCGTCATTTCCTGATTGTCCACTAGGGTGCGTCGCTAACGCTATGGTTTGTGTCCAGGTTGTGAGGGTCCTGGATAAGCGGCTGGTTCTGCCTATGGTGGAGCTCTTTCCCGGCACAGAGTACATCACGCGGGCGGGGTGGACGGCAGACGGGCGCTTGTAAGTAGCCGCGGGCCCAGGGAGCCGAAGTGACGTCCACCAGCCCTGATCATCTCCCCTTACCATCTGCCCTGCCCCCCCCCAGTGCCTGGGCTCTGCTGCTCAACCGGCCCCAGACCCGGCAGCAGCTGGTTCTTCTCCCCCCGGCCCTCTTCATCCCGGACTGGACCCCCTCCGGCACCCGACCAGAACCAGATAGCGCCACACCCTTCATCGTCTACCAGGAGACCACTGACATCTGGATCAATGTGAGGGGGCTCTGTGGGCAGCAAAGGGAGAGGGTCCCTAGCAGGAGATCCCAGCTAGTATTAATGGTGGCCAGCAGGTGGCGTAGTAGTTAAGGTTGTTGGTTCATCTCTTGGATGAGTACAGTTCTGCACCATAGCAAAATGTGTGGTGATGATACTGTACGGCCGCAGTGGTTAATCTCTATCCCCCCCCCCCCCCCCAGACCCACGATATCCTCCACTTCCTGCCACAGAGGGAGGACGGGGAGATCAGCGTCATCGTAGCGTCTGAGGTCCACACAGGTTTCCGGCACCTCTACCGGGTGACATCCCGGCTGCAGGCCTCCTGGGGCCCCACCAGCACGGACGGGGGGGGTGCTGCAGGTAAGGTCACCTCCCTGGATGTGCAGTCACACCTTAGATCGGGGATTTTCAGGCCTGCCCTCGAGGGCCCTCATACTCCCCCCCAGCTCCCTAAAACGTGGACCATCTTGGGGTCCCCGAGTACCAGCTTCAGAAATACAGACCGAGACACGTGTCGTGTGCCACTCCCCCCTCAGGTGACTTCCTGTGTCCCGTGAAACAGCAGGTGGCGCTAACCTGGGGAGACTGGGAGGTGTTGGGGAGACATGGTTCTAACGTAAGTGTGACTCCCTCTAGTGGATGTTCTTCGTCTGAATCTGCACTGTAGGAGTGGAAGTGCAGGATAATCATCAGTATGATGGGTTTATGTGACTAAGAGCCTCCACAAAATGAGAAAGCACAGTTGGTTTGTGTGGGGCCCCTGGTGAGTGCATGGGGCCCCTGGTGAGTACGTGGAATTCACTGTAGGCGTGTTCACCCTCCTGGTGTGTGCAGATCACCGTGGACGAGGAGAGGGGCCTGCTGTTCTTCCAGGGCACCCGCGAAAGCCCCCTGGAGCACCACCTCTATGTCACCAGTTGGCTGCGGCCCGTCGAGGCTTGTAGGATCACCAAAGCTGGCCACTCGCACACCTGCCGGCTCAGCCAGGTTAGCCTCCGTACGACACCGGCTGCCCGCTGGGACTCCCCGTAGCCACTCCCCCAGCCACCCATTGGGGGTTCCCCGTGGCCACTCCCCCCGCCACCCATTGGGGGTTCCCCGTAGCCACTCCCCCAGCCACCCATTGGGGGTTCCCCGTGGCCACTCCCCCCGCCGCCCACCGGCCCCTCAGCGTCACCCTGACCCAGGCCTTGTCTTCCAGCTGATGGACATGTACATCAGCCGCTTCAGCAGCGAGCAGAACCCGCCCTGCGTCAGTCTCTTCAGGCTGAGTCTGGAGGAGCGCGACTTCGAGCGACTGCAGGGCGAATTCTGGGCCTCTCTCCTGGAGTACCCAGGTACCTCCCTGCCTGCTGCGGCCTTGCTGGCATCCTACTGGGCGGACTTACGCTGGGAGTGTGTTTGAAACCCTCGTGAGAGACCCAGTACCAGGCTATGAGCAAAACATGTAGAGTTACGGGCTCTCAGTGGATGGATTTCCGATGGAGTTCCTTAAGCATTCCTTCCCGGGTTTCCGGTGTGTTCCCCTTCCTAGCATGTCCCTGGGATTACGTCCCACCCGAGTTGTTCAACTTCGAGAGCCGATCTGGACAAACGCTGCACGGAATGTTCTACCGTCCCCACAAGCTGCAGCCAGGGAAGCGCCACCCAGTGGTGGTCTTCGTCTATGGGGGACCACAGGTACGGGCCACCAGGGCTGCCGGTCTTATTTCTGGAGCGTCTGATTGGCTCATTGGTGTAGTTACACGAAGCCCAACACCCGCTAGGTGCAGCTGGTGAACCGGCGCTATAAGGGCCTGAAGCACATGCGGCTGCACACGCTGGCATCGCTCGGCTACTGCGTGGTCACCGTGGACAACCGGGGGTCCTGCCACCGTGGCCTGGCCTTCGAGAGCGCGCTCCAGAACCGCATGGTGAGGCTGCCAGCCAGACCAGGGGGAGGGGCGTTACTGTGCGTGTGTCTGTGTGTGTGCGCGCGTGTGTCTGTGTGTTTGCGCGTGTGTGTGTGTGTGTGCGTGCGTGTGCGTGCGTGCGTGTATGTACCTATTTTGTCTCTCCTCTAATCTGATTCCTAAGTGGGTCCTCCATGTTATCGTGGGTGTAGGGCTTTATCATATGGTGTAGCAGTTGCAGTTCCCTGATGCTTAAATGGACAGTCTCCAAGATTTCAGTGTGCACTCTGAGAAAAAAAAAGTATTTGGGGGGACATTGATGCTATTTGTACTGTACAAAACTATACCAGGGCTGCACCCTTTTTTCTAACAGTATGCCCTTCACCTCCCTGCCCCCCCACCATGCCCTCTGTCCATGTGTCCCTCTCTGTCCCTGTCCACCCATGTCCACCCCTGTTCCTCGTTTCTGCACACTAGGGCCAGGTGGAGATTGACGACCAGGTGGAGGCGCTGGAGCACCTGTCCTCGCGCTATTCCTTCATGGACATGGACAGGGTGGCCATCCACGGCTGGTCCTACGGGGGCTTCCTGTCTCTCATGGGCCTTCTGCAGAGGCCCGACCTCTTCAAGGTCAGCTTCCGGGCCGAGCTGGGCTCACTGCCTCACTGCCTCACTGCCTCACTGCACTTCAGGTGTAGGATTGCAGCACTGGCATGTGTCAGGATGACCTTCAGGTTGTGGCTTGTGAAGGTGGTGGGTAGCACCATGGTTTAGGGATCAGTTGTGAGTTCAAATTCCACAGCCAGCTGCATAATCATATCACCGTTTTCAAATGGCTCTGGTCCCAGCTAATCCAATCATGTCATGTAAAACTGGGAGAGGAAACTAACCAAAGAACCTCTTGATAAGCAGCTCGGGATGAAACCTGGCAAACCTGAGGTCTGGACAAAGGCCCGATCCTCATCGGGGAGGACCAACACTATTTATTAAGGTTCTGAATTGGTACTGTGCTGTGCCTCCTGCAGGTGGCGATAGCGGGCGCTCCAGTCACCATGTGGACACACTATGATACCGGCTACACAGAGCGGTACATGGGCCTTCCTGAGCAGAACCAGGACAGCTACCAGCTGAGCTCTGTCACCCTGCAAGCACACCGCTTCCCATCCCAGTGAGCATCACATGCAGACACAAGCCTTTTAACTCGCACGAGCGCGCTAAAAATACACCCGGATCGGCCTCCTTAATGCAGCACACGCCTGCCCTTTGGGACGCGCCTCTGGCGCCCCCTCCTGGTGTGCTGCCCTTGCTGCAGTATCTAACCCTGCCCTGGTGACCCTGTATTCCAGACCCGGTCGCCTGCTGCTCCTCCATGGCGTGCTGGATGAGAATGTGCACTTCGCCCACACCAACCTGCTGCTCAGCGCGCTGGTGCGTGCGGGGAAGCCCTACCAGCTGCAGGTCAGGCTCGGGGACGCCGCAGGTCGATGCTTCTCGGGGATGCCGCCTGGGATGTGTGAATAACTACTGGTGGCCCTCGGCTGCCTTCCTGGGCGGCAGCTGCACAAAAATAATATACACAACTGTGGAGCTGCTTTTAATTTGCCGTGTCTGTCCCCCGCCCTGCAGCTGTACCCCCAGGAGAGGCACAGCATCCGCCTGCCCGAGTCCGGGGAGCACTACGAGCTGCACCTGCTGCACTACCTGCAGGAGCACCTGGGCTCCAGAACCACCTCCATCCTCAGCGCCTCCTGACCTTCTACACGCTTCCTCTTGCTGACCAGCAGGGGGAGACAAACTCGGCAAACCAGTGTGGATGTCCAAACGCCACCATTCAGAATGGTTACGGTCTGGCTAACTTCCCCAGATTGGCTTGTGGGGAGGGGCGGGGGGGGGCACAGGATTTGGGGGACCTTGCAGGGGATGTGGTAGAGGGTTTTGCTAGAGGGAGAGCTGAGTATGTATTCCTAAATGCTTAAATGATGGGGAAGGGGCTGCAAGACACCAGTATTTATGTTTTCATGTATTTGATACCTTTACTCATGAAATATGACCATATTGTAAGGCGGCGTACCTTAAAGAGCTCGTCTGTACACGGATCAGCAAACACTGACTGATGTTGGAAGATGGACCACATGCTGAACACTAAGGCGGCCGCTGCCTGCTTGTCTGCGCAGCCTGTGCTGTGCGGATCTGGGCAGCTGCTGCGCAGGTCCCGCCGTAGCAATCGGCTGCCAGTCGACTGCATGTTTCCATATTCTCATTAGACCTTGGTTGTGTGCCAGTGTAGTTACTGTATGAGCCTGTAACACACATCCTCACTTTCCCACACACATATCAGCTATATATTTATACTCTCCTTGTTTTTTTCTGTGGTTATGTCATGTATCCCTTTCTCTTCAAATAATCAGGAAACCTTCATTCTTTCTTGGGTCTTTCCAGCAGAATGGCCTCTGGTGCTGTTGTGCAGGGATGGTGCATGAACTAATAAAACGACTATTTTGCTTTGACCGAAGAGCATGAGTGTGTTTAAGGTGGCATCTGTAAGACTCATTGATGAATCCTCTGCTGGCCCTTCACCGCCTTAGCTGCTGTGCGGTGAGTGTCCTGGCGCAGAAGGGCAGGCCCTGCACTGAGACGGCCTCCCCAGTATTCCGCGTTCGCTGTGTCGCCGCTGCCGATGCTGAGGGCTGCTATTCACAGCCTGGGGGTGAATTTTTAATACTGATTTCTGTGATCATTTTCCCGGTGTTTTCAGACAAAGCGGTATTGTTTCACGTTCGCTCCTTATATCCGCTCTCCCTCCCCTCCCCTGTCATGAATATTCAGCCGGCACAGTTTGGGTCAGACCCTATTAACACCATTTATAACGGCGTGCACCTTAAATGGGAAGCCGAAACGCAGATAGGAGTGTGATAACGAGGGCCACCCTCTCCTTCTCTGCCAGCTAACAAGACCTCCATTGATGAGGCACTTGAGCTCTCTGCTCTGCACAAGCACGCTGGGGTCCCTCCATTCACCATGTGGCTCCATTTTACAGCGATTCAGAATCTGCTTTTAAGCTCATTAGGATGAGAGTAGGCTCTCCCATGAAGTATTGCTTACAGCGGCTGTGAAAGGGTGTCCGCCTGTCCCTCCCCCCCCCCCCCCCCATCACTCTCGCTCCCTCTCCCCTCCCCGCTCCGGACAGGGGCCTTCAAAGCCGTCACACCTGCGACCGTGATACACCAAGACCGATCTCCTTCTTTTGCATCTTTATCCAAATCGAAGGTAGCGCTCTCTTCACAACATACGATTTCTAAAAGTGGCCGTGGCACTCCTAGAATGTGCTGGAAGCCTCTGCTGCAGCTTTGCCTCTTAACTGTGAGGCTAGCCGAATAAACTTCTAATAATAAAATATTCTGATCTAATTTGGGACTTGGTGCAATGCAGCCCCCAGTCTGTGCCGCTGAGCCCTGTTGGTTATGGAGGTTTGTGTAACACGTTTAGCGACATAATCTTGCAGCCACCCTCTCCCAGCATGCTCCCTGATCTGGGAACAGTGCCATCCCAGTGCTCCCAGTGCCTGTATTGTGCCACCAGTGCCTGCCTGCTGACAAACATCTTGTATGCCGCCGAGTCGTGGTTCCCATGGAGGCCGCTTTTCCGATGGCCCCCCCACCGAAAGGGAGGGTGAGGTGGGGATAGCTGGCCTGCAGTAGCATCGGCAGACGGGCAGCATGAGGGGTAGAGTAATTGGAGGTTAGTTCCATAAGTAGTTTTTGTTTGTGTTGGCACGGGGGGGGGGGGGTATTCAAACAACAAAATGTGGGAAAATCTGTTGGGACTTTTCAAAAGCTTCATCACGGCAGCAGTAAGAGAGGCAGAGGAGAGTCGCTCCCCCGCGGTGGAAAACGCCTTTTGTCACATCGTGTAGAGTACGCTCAAAGAGCGATTGTTCTGTGAAATGTGTCCCCTTTCTCTCTGTCCAATGGCCGCCTCGAAGCCCCCATCCTGCTTCATTACGCCTCACCCCCATGTTCCCCAGCCTTTGTGCGACAGCCTCAGCTCGCAGTGTATGAGACAGGGTCAGTGTTGGAGTTTGCAGGTTGCTCATGCAGGTACTCAAGGTATGAGTAGCAGAAATGGACAAAGCAGGGGAGGAGTGGGGACTTCAAATAAAAACAACAGCTGAGTTCACTGCAGCGGCAACTTAAATGAATTGGTGGCTCTAAATTGCCTTTGCCTACCTACCTGTCTGTCTGCTTGTCTTTCTGTCTGTCTGCCTACCTACCTACCTGCCTGTCTGCTTACCTGTCTGCCTGCCTACCTACCTGTCTGCCTGTATATCTGTCTGCCTGTCTGCTTGTCTTTCTGTCTGTCTGCCTACCTACCTGCCTGCCTGTTTGCCTACCTACCTGTCTGTCTGCCTGTATATCTGTCTGCCTGTCTGTCTGTTTGCCTGTCTGCCTACCTACCTGTCTGTCTGCCTGTCTGTCTGCTTGTCTCTATGTGATGGACTGGCATCATATACAAGCTGTCCTCTGATTCATTCTTAGTACTGTCTGGGACAATCCCTAAGTTTTGCACATACAGGAAAAAATATCAGGATATAGACAAAATGACCTATCAATCTTCCAACCACTTATCCTGATCAGCATCATAGCAGGCCAGGAGTCCCTCGTCTATGGCTGGGAGCCCAGGGCACGGCCTGGGGGGACTGTCATGTGGGCAGTGGTGGCTTAATGGTTAGGGAAGCACACTTGTAATTGAAAGATTGCTGGTTTGAATCTCCAACCAGCAAGGCACCACTGAGGTACCCTGAACAAGGTGCCGCCCCCAGGCACTGCTCCTCAGGCGCTGCTCCCCAGGCACTGCTCCTCGGGCGCTGCCCCCTGCTACGTCACATATGGGTTAAATGCAGAGGACCCATTTCATTGTTGTGTGCTGTGGTGTGTCTACACTGATCCCCAAAACCAAAATCCTGGACTGGATGCCAGTTCCCTGCTGGGCAGCACACATGCATTACAGGTAAATCAGAGATGCCCTGATTGCATTTCGCTGGACTGCAGACACTGCAGGAACCGCACACAGAACAGGGGTGGGACTCGAAATATCAACCAACCAAGGTGTTTATATACAGTGCTGTGCAAAAGTCTTGGGCAGTGACAGAAAATGTTTTAACAATTTACATTATATACAAATTAGGAGCAACAACAAACAAGAAATTCTTCTGTTCTCCAAAACGTTACTGATACCTTGTGGGACAGCTAGTTGAACCATTCCTAGTTGAACATGCCATTTCATGTGTTTATTAAATTTCAGCACCAGCTTGTTTAATTAATTCATTAAATTTAGTTAAGAAAGTAAATGAGGTATTGATAAGCCATATAAGGTGGGGTAGTGGTGAAGTCAAAAAAATACCCGGGGGGGGGGCATTGAATGGTTGCTGCCCATCTTGGGTTGATTTTAGGAGAGGTTTTGAAATGGCTAAGCTGGCACACTTTGACGGACAGTTGTGTCCATCAGGAATTTATCTTTTTAATAAGATCAGCAGTGAAACAGAATTGCCTTGATGAACAAATAAGAAAATAATACCGTACATTCCAACCGTGAAATATGTATAGTCTGAAAAGATAACAACAGCTATAATTAATTTTGCAAAACCATTCAGTATAACTTGGAGTATAACTTAAGAATAGTTAAGAGTTGGCCACGCAAAATAGATGCGTTTTGGTGGGGAAAAAAAATGTGGCTCCTATTGCTCTGACTGCACGAACAACGTCCATCCACAGGTTTCATTTGGAAACTTCAAACTGGAAGCCAATGAATTACTTGGGACGCCAGAGACTGATGGGCTCTCGGGAAGAAAGACGCTGGGATGAGGGTCGGGCAGAGGAGCCTCTGGAAGTTGACTCAGAGCAACGGACTGCGAAAGGGGGCGTGCGGGCGTGCTGGCAGCGGTTCAGGCGGCTCCACAGGACACCTAAAGGGGGACTTGCTAATTTCAGCAAGTGTGAGGCTGTGTGTAGAAGCGATCTCACTTCGGTCACTTGCTCGCAACATGGCGAAGAAGCGTAAAGAGGAAGCGCAGCTCTCTCCGGGATCGTTATTCATTTTCTGATATGCATCAGCACTCGGCGTGGGGATAATCAAACGGCTTTTAGCCCATAGGGCGGCCGGCAGATTGATCTGCACCATCCACCTGCGGTTTGCCCTAAATGCACATGATGCATATGCTTTAATCATCTGCTATCTGCATAACTTACAATGCCGATGATACCTGTCCTGGAAAAGAGAAGCGGGACTTCCATTGCGATGAGGAGCATCTGTCTGCTGTGGCTGCTTTCGCTGGACTTCTGTGGTCAGCCTGTCCAAGGTAACCGCCTCAGTAGATCTGATCTCACCTTGAGGCCCCGGACACCCCATTAAAAGCGGGTTACTCTGTTTGTCGGCGTGGCTGGCTGCTGTTTTACTACCCAGATCAGCGACCCCGTCTTTGGCTGTCGTATAGCGGATCAGACATAGCGGATGTTTTTTTCAGAACTGATTGCAAAAGTGATACATAATTTAAAAGCGATCCTGTGACGTTAAGGGGGGCTGAAAGCAGAGATTTCGGGGTGTTTCTCTCTCGTCCGCCGAAGGTGGGGAGCATGTGTGCTCAGGAATAACATTAAAGCGCTTGTTGCTGTTTTTATAATGCTTACAGACTTGTGCTGATTTTGTAACACACAAAACACGTATGTAAACCAGTGAAGTGTTTTTTTTAAATAATTAATCAGAAAACAAATGGGGTTTAGACTAATGAGTGTTACGATGCGTTTTATTTGCATGGTTTTACTTTCTTTGGTAGGCTTACCTTTTTTCATTTTTAAATCGTTTCCCAAAACTTAATATGTACAGATTCCTTAGCCCTTCGAGCAAAAACGAGCCCTATCTATAAATATTTTTCTTGTCATGCGATGATACGTGACACATTTGATTCTGAAGGACTTTATTCCGCACTAAAACTTACACGGCTTTTGGTATTCTGTATCCACAGTGCCATCCTCCTGTTTTCTGTCATTTATATAACTTGGATGAATATCCTCCCAGTATACCAAACCAGTGAGGCAGTTAAGGCCCTGCATACTGGGAGAACTGGGAGACACCCCAAAGGATGGGAGCTAAAGTGGCCTGAGTGAAAGGGAACTGGAATACCTTGAGGGGACCTTAAACTTGTAATTATAACCAGGGGCCACATTTAACTTGGTCAGTCCAGGGATCAGGATGTATGCTGCCGAAATAGCGCCTGGTTTTATTTAGCAAGACTGTAACAGGCCATTAGCCAGAGGAAACAGAAAGTGGTGAGAAGTGAATGCAGCAGCTGGTCAGATGGAGGTCCTGAGCTCTCTGCACGACGTGTGTGTTGCCCGCGTGTTGGCATGTCTGCCTTAGATCGCGGGGTAACTGACGGGAAGATGAAGATGTCTTCGTCCTGCTCCTTCTCAGTTAAATCCAGCATGGTTACATTATGCTCTTCATGGAAGAACATGGAAGAAGCACTGATTAATAGCTGTGTGGGTGCATTGTCATACCTACCATTGCCAAGGTTAGTTCATTATTAGTTTTTGTAATTCCTAAATCTGTTTTTTTTAAGCTTACAGTGGTGTGTGGCGTCTTAACAGCTTAATAATAAATTAGTGTTCTTGTTATATCTGAGGACTGATTCTGCAATAGAGGGAAAAGGGCTGTATTGCCCTCCCTTCCTGTCCCTTCACCTGCCTGGGGGGGGGTCAGGCTTTCTCAGGTGGTTTTACATGTGCATCAAAATGGATGCACATGTAAAACACGTGTGTGTGTGTGTGTGTGTGTGTGTGTGTGAGTGAGTGAGTGTGTTTTCACTGCCCTCTTCCAGTTACGCCCTCAGATCAGTGACAGGTGTCTCGTTCTGCAGGTGCCCCTATGCCCACATGTACATGCCCACTGTACTTCATGCCGTTTTGTGTCTGAGGTGGGCGTGACGTGAATTGCCGATGATGGGTTGAGATTTCTTCATCTGCTCCATGGTCCCCTTTCTGTCCATGAGCTGTTCCTCCTGCTGTCGGCAGAGGATACTCTCACGCCGGACCCCGGGTCCCTTTGACTGATGCTCTTCTGCAATTGCTTCTGTGTAACCCCTTCACAATAGTGGCTTTAGGGTTAATCAACAGCGGCTTGTGTAATAAGTGTGACAGGTGAGGTGAATGGCCTTAGTCTTTTGTGGCTTGATAAAGACCTGAAACTTTACCAGTAGTGTACAGAGAGAGATCAGGACCTCAGACCCTGGCGTGTCAGCGAAGACCAGGACCTGCTGACTGGTTTTGGAACAGCTGGACCTATCTTGCCCAGATGGATTAATATGTTTATGGTCAGAGAATGCAGGCAGTGCTCATTTTCATGGCCCGAATGTTCTGCTTCGCACATGCTCCTGTCGGGGGGTGTGGGTCCGACGGGCCACATGCTCATCTGATGACTTGTTTGTAATCCGGAGAGCCACTGACCCCAGTGAGAATAGAAAGGTTGTTCTCCAGCACAGAAGCATTACGGAAGGGGGGGGGGGGGGGGCACCTTGGCATGTCTCACTGTATACATACACACACACACACACACACACACACACAGTGACTGCCAGCAGCTGGTTCCTGTGCTGCAATCTCGTTCTGTGAACTTTGTATCCTCCAGTTGCTTAGTTGGCAATTTCTCTGTGTTCGGCACTTGCCCATTCTCACTTTTCATCAGTCAGGGTTATGTGTCACTGCCCGCGTGATCAAAAGCAATTAGCTGGTATGTCAGCAGCGCCTTGGCATGGTTGGTGGGCCAGCGGGTCCCGTGAATAGCCATTAATGTCACTGTGCCGGGGATGTGGCAGGGATGTGCCGGGGATGTGGCAGACTTCCACGATGATACCCTTCTGCCCTTTCTCTCTTTCTCACTCTGCTGCTCCTCCTGTCCTACCTGTTTATTTTCAGTCCCTCTCATTCTAAGATCTCTGTGATCCCCCCCCCCCCCAGCAGAGACCCAGCCTTGAATCCCACCCTGTTATAAGATGGTGTGTGTTTATGGAGGTGGATGTTTGTGTGTTTGCACATTGTAGATAATACATGGTTATTTCTAGGAATATTTGCCAATCTTCAGTAATCCCCCCTTCCCGTGAGGCAGAATTGGACGCGGCTGTGGGTTTACTCCGCCCTCTTGGGACCTGTTTGTGCTGCGTGTCGGGTCTCGTTAGCTGGCCGGGGCCCGGTGTCAGCCTGGTGCAGATGGACCTTAAGCTGTTTTGTGGACCCTGACATGAGCTCTGTGAGGGAGTGCAGAGCCCTGCAGGTTCTGGGACGGCGCCAGCCGCTCTGCTTTTAGTCGGTGGCTTTATCCGCTGTGCCGTGTGACTGTCAGACCCATGAATAACGGGCCCGGAGTTCTTCGCTCAATAGCCACCTCAGGCACGTCTGGCACCTCCTGCTGGCTCCGTGCGATGGCTGCGTTACCACCAAGCACGCCCAAGTTAATCCTCCCCACATTCCTGAAAAGGGCTCAGCTTCTGTCCTCTGCCGGTCCCCTAACCCAAGGCTCAGCCAGGGGTCCCGTTTCCTGATCTGGCTGCTGACCGGCGGTTTCGTCAAGGGGCGTCTCCACAGGAAAGGTTAATTTTAACCATGGTGACGATTTGGTAAATACGACACTGAGGATGGGGGGCGTCACACTCGCGGCGTGTGACGCATGAAGGATCCTGAGAGGGGCAGACTGCAGGGGGAGGACTGTCTTATCCAGTCAGATGTGGCCCTTTCCCGTCACCAAATAATTTAATAGCTGAGAGTAAATATGTAAGTAGTATGTCCTCCATTGTACAAGCATTCATCTTAAATCTTCCTCTGTCATTGGAAGAAGGATCTTGAGCAACAGTCATGTCTGTTCTTTTTTATACTCTGCTGAATTCCTTTGGCGGTGACAGCCCCCGCCCACCCGAGGCTCCGCTGGCTGCCCTCTGCTCTCCTTGATAGATGAGGCGCCTGTCTCCCGTCTCCCCCCTGCAGCGAGGCCGGTGTCACTGGAACTCAGCTGCGGGGTGGGGCCCGTCCACGCGGTGCTGGAGCCAGGGCGCCCCCTACTGCTGGACTGCCACCAGGGGGCCACTGACATGCCCCGGAACGTCAGCTGGCTGCAGGGTGGGGCATTTGTACGGGATACGGAGGCGGTGAACGTTCTGGCCAATGGCTCGCTGCTGGTTCGCCCCGACAGAGGGCCAGCCGCCGAAGGAGACTACAGCTGCGTGTCGGCCGGGGCCTTTGGGGCCCTCACCAGTCGCACGCTCGCCCTGCGCCTCAGCGGTGAGTCTTAGCCCCGCCCCTTTCCCTGATCGCCCCCTACTTCCTGCGCCTCTGGAAAGCACCCAATTTTTATTAAACCAGTTTCCATTTCCTCTCATTTGCTGTTCAGTCTCTAATCAACCAATTAAAGGCTCCTATGGTCTTTGGCCAATCAGCAGTGCAGTCCTAACCATACTTGCCCTGTGCCATTGTTTGACCTTCCCGGACCTTGTGGGTGGGATTTGGCTATCCAGTGTGTGCCGCGGCTGCTCTCGCTCAAAGCGGTCAGGGCTCTTTAACTCCACTCGAGACTGACTGCCTACTAGTCTCCCGTTCCGACCCTCTTCCCATGTTTAATTGGTCCAATCAGTAAGCTAATTATCTGCGGCGACAGAGAAATGTCTACCCTTTATTGATCCCGAGTGGGAAATTCTGCATGTGAGCTTAGTAGAGCCACACTGAGTAAAATTTCTGATCTCAGCAGATCATTCAAAAAATGTTAGAGAAATATAGATTTTTTTTATTGAATGTATGATGGGAGACTAGTTTAAATTGCAATTGACTAAAGGGAAGAGGAAACTGAACCTGAAGCCTGCGAGACTGTGGCCCCTTGAGAACTCAGCGGGAAACCCTGCCCACTGCGCCCAGCACTGTCACCTGCTTCCACAGGTCTCTCCCGCTTCCATCAGCACCCGCGCTCTCAGACGGTGCCCATGGGTGGCCTGGCGCGCTTCCAATGCCAGGTGGACGGCCTGCCCGTGCCCAGCATCACCTGGGAGAGGGACGAAGGCCCCCTGCCCCTTCTGCCAAGGTGAGCAGGCTCTACGTCCAGTCAGCTTGTTTGACATGCAGTGGGCCACCAGTGAGCTTGTTTGCCATGCAGTGGGCCACCAGTGAGCTTGTTTGCCATGCAGTGGGCCACCAGTGGGCTTGTTTGCCATGCAGTGGGCCACCAGTGGGCTTGTTTGCCATGCAGTAAGTATTTTTAATTAACAGTTCTTCTGCTTAGGACATGGAAGGTGTATCTAACAGACCTACAGAGTCCGACTTAAAGCCGCTTCTTCAGGTCGGTTCCCAGTAGCCAGTGCTCATCCTTGTTCTTTTACTATCCATGGAAAACAACTGACCGGTGGATCGATTTAATTATGATTTAAAAACAACTGTCTGAAACCATCTAAAGCAGTGCTTCATAAACTTTATAGTGCATACCACCTCAAAAGGTCCTACGCTCATGAAGAAGTTGTCGGGGGTGACAGAAACGTGGGCTGGACTGAAAGCCATGTTAGAAATGTCTTATTTATCGAGCTAATATCTCACTTTGTGCGGGTATGAACCTCCTTCCCCAACAAAGGCAAAAATCGCCATTTAGTCACTGTCAGACACCACTGGGTTACTAGTCTGATATCATCAATTATGGTAGTATTGTCATTTCGCATAGGACTAGTGCTACCTTAACATCACAACTGGCACTGCAGAGACCTCCAGCTGTTACCAAGTTCCCTATAAACAGCCGATTTTGTGAATAAACATTAAATATCCACGTAGCTTCCTGCAACTTCATTTTCCTTATTGTGCTACACCGTAACTTGCAAATATAAACACCTGCATTGAGTAAACTTAAAAGGAGAGGATAGACCAAGAGATTTGATAGATGTGTAGTACTTTTTACTTATCTACCTCTTTCGGAAGTACTTGGATTAGCACTTCCAGGATTATACTCTTATTTAAAAAAAAAAAAATTTAAAAAAAAATGCATTACTTGCCAACAGGGTTTTTTTTACAGTGATGGTACGGTGATGGTATTCCTAGCTGGGTTCTACTGAAGCAGCATCAGAACGTAATCACTGCTGAGACTCCTAAGCACTTATGTAAGTCGCTCTGGTTAAGGGCGTCTGCCAAATGCCGTATATCTTAATTACTTATAAAATCACATAGTTTTTACTTCAGTAGTATTTCACTGGATGACTGACTTTTACTTGAGCATCATTTTGGCGAGATATCTGTACTTTTACTCAAGTATGAAAATTGAATACTTTTTCCAGCACTGTATTTGAGAATCATATGGTGACAGTTATTGATAAGAAGAGCTGTCTTTCTTAGTTGTAATGGTGATGAGAATGAGCAGGACCCGTGATTTCAGTTCAGTTTTAAGTGTTCTCTAAAGCAAATGATGGTTAGAGCCAAGGGCTTCTGGCTTTAATAACAGCTCAACTTAGGCAATTTCCTATGCTAACAACAATATTTAGACCAGTGTATCTCAACCCAGTCCTTGGGAACCCCCCCAGACACTCCACATTTTTGTCACCCCCCCCCCCCTGCTTCCAGGTCACCTGAACCGAATAGCCAGTATGGCTGTGCTGGGAGATGAGGGGGAGCAAAAATGTGGACTGACTGATGAGGCGATAGATTTATGTCTAAAGTAATCGTACTTAAATGTCATGATGATATCGTAATTTTTATGAAGCACAAATCCATAATCAGAGTTGCAAATGTGTGCCTGTCCCTACCATTTAAGTTTCAGGAGTAAAATCCCCGTTTTACATTACAAATATCTTTGCAAATCTCTCTCCATAGTCTGGGGGTCCCCAAGGACTGGGCTGAGAGACACTGATTTCGCACTGGTATGAATGTCACCCAGGGTGGATAAGTGTGACGTTTCCATTAGACGTCATTTAGCACGGTGTGCTGGACCTTGGCTCGAGTTTGCTGGAGTTTGGAGATAAGTATATTGCTGGCCAGCCTCCTTCTGTACAGGCCAAAGGTTGGGGCCAGAGGACGTGCCCCCTCTCTGTTTGCTCAGTCAGAATCCTAAGCCCCACCCCTTCCTGTCGGCATTCCTAAGCCCCACCCCTTCCTGTCGGCATCCTAAGCCCCACCCCTTCCTGTTGGCATCCTAAGCTCCACCCCTGGGTCTAATCATCAAATTGTTCTGTAGGCCTGCACACCTCTCTGTCTCAGGGCCTCTGGTTGGTCAGACTCGGGTTACGCGGCTGGCTGGTGGGGGGGTAGGAAGGTGAATGTGGCGTTATCGGGACGCCCAGAAGAAGGCTGTGGATCTGACCGTGGGGTCGATAACTGCAGTCACTCACTTCAGCAGGTGTACTGCAGCCCGTGTGAAGGGGTCCTCCTGGCCATTTAAGGAAGCAAAGCATGCTGGGAGATGGAATTTTCTAAAGATGCGGATGGCTGTTTGCAGCCTCTTATGAATTCCTAGCCCCCCATGTAATAGCAGGTGCTTCCCTGCATGCCACCTCAAAGGCCGGATCGGAAGCAAACAGGATTTAGGGCCTGCAGTGGAACTTGCCCCTCGTGCTGGACTGGGGGGGTGGGGGGCATGGCAGTGGGTGAAACAAAGATAAATATTGACAATGGTGGAAGCAGCCACAGGGCACAGAGGCTCTTGTGCAATGGGGTCATGTGTGTCCCAGTCACCAGGCCCAGGAGGAAGCCCCATGAAATGCCTGCATTTCCCACAGCTCTTGGTGGGTCTCAGATGGGTTCCTGTCCTGGCCTTTCCTCCAAGGGCCGCTTGTGACGAGTAGCATGTCCTCAGGACTCCCTTCATTTAAGGGTATCTGCTGAGTAAGCCTTTGACATAAATCAGCGTCTCTCCTCATGTCCTGAGGGTCCTCACCCCAAGGCATCATGGGAATATGACTGCTGACTGTGATCTGCGCAGGCCCTGATTTGCTGTTACTCAAACAGTATGACTATGCCACCTAAAGGCCAAACCGTGCATAAATGTATGGAGTTGCATTGGTCGCATTACACCTGGACGTGCTGAGAAGCCTTGAGCCTCTGAGCCACTGTATGTGTGCCCCCCCCCCGCCAGGTACACCACCCTGCCCAATGGCGTGCTGCAGATTTCAGGGGTGCAGGAGGAGGACGCGGGTTCCTATCGCTGTGTGGCCTCCAGTGCAGCCAACAGGCGTCTCAGCCGGAATGCAACCCTCACCGTAACACCAGGTACGGCCCCGCCCCCGCATGCCGGCTCCACCTTTCAGACAAGCTAGGGCAGCAGGTGGCGCTATTAACGAGGAGCCAGGCTTCTGTCCAAGAATCTCCACTCGGAGAGCCTTGTTATGAACACGCTGCGCGGCAGCAAATGCTCACATTTCCCCCACATTGCATCAGCGAGCCGCAGTAACAGCAGAATAAATCACAGCCCTGTGGGGAGGGAGGAGCTTAACATTCGCTGTAGGACAAACACACATTCAGACACGCAGTCGTCGCGCATGCAGTCTTCCGCACATACGCGCACTTTCACAAAGGCCTTCACGTCCAGCAGTCATCCTGACTTGTCTGAGAAAGTCAGAGTGACCCATTTAAAAAGCTCCGCCTTCACGTATAATCAGAGGCCCCAGCATATAATCAGAATTTTTCCTTTTAGGGCCCGTTTCCTCTTTGGCAGGACGCTGACTCGTGCCTCTTCAGCAGTGCTAATTGCAGTGATAGGAAACATACCGGAGTGGGAGGGTCCTGTGTGCACCCAGCAGGAACTGGAAGAAAGGGCTCTATCTCCTAGGCTATAGGGCAGGGCAGCTCACTCCCTTCAGTAGCATCTCAGTATTACAGCCAGGTAAGGGTGCTTTTCCACCATCGGGTACCGTACTTTTGGTACTTCAAGAAAATACCAAAAGTACGGTACTTCAAGGTGTTGGCTTTCCAATGGTGTAAAAACTGGCACCAGCGCTGAATGACATCACAACACTGATGTACTGAATTCGAAAAATGGCTGTAGTAGGGCTGGACGACGTGCAATATTAATACCAACATAGCATATTATGCACTTCCAATACTTGCATCGCTAGTCATCTAGATTAAGATCAGGCTTTTTCTTTCAATTTCGTATGGATATTATAGTGCAGGGAGTCTGTCTTACTAAAACATTTCACTCTGTTAATGCTTTTGCATGAGCGCTGCATGCATTTTCCGAGACAATCGTAATCATTCTTATGCTTGCTGTTTAAATTACTCCTAGACAGGCTTGTGAGAAATTTATGTTTAACTCCTTTTTGCTTTGCAAATACCCCAATATTTATTACACTAAAATCACTTTGTGGTATTTGAATTTTTCCCAATATCGTGCAGCCTTGGTACATTATAGCAAATACTTTATTTTTTATGCCATCTAGATCTTCTTTGTATCATCTGATCAGATCACAAATTAAGATTGGATCTCTTCATCTGTCCACTCTATTATTATTATTATTATTATTATTATTATTATTATTTTGCTTAATTTATCGTTTTCTGAGGTTGTAACTTTTTTAAAGGTGGTGGTTATATCTTGTTTCAGAGGCAGGCTATTTGCATAACCGATTCACAAAGGAAGTGTTAAGTTCCACCCCAAACTACCAAAGTACCAAAAAAGTATCCCGGGCTGGTTTGATACTTTAGCTCCTGGAACTTTTGATACTGGTACTTGACTGGAAGTCAGTGGGCAAAGGAAAGTACTGAAAGTACCGTACCAAAAGTATGCTACCTGGTGTGGTGGAACAGCGCCCTAACTTGTAGCTAAGCTCTCCAGAAGCTGGAAAGAACAGCCGTGCGGAGAGAGATGTTCCCCGGCATTAATGCAGTGATACTTTCCTCCTGTATAACAGAAATCACTGACGTGCAGATTTTTATATGTATATCCGGCAAGTCATCGTGCCACTGGTTTACTCGTTTATCGCAGAGTCCGCAAACTGCCCATTAGCATAGGTGAGGCTTTTCCACCTGCTCTTTCAGCTCTGCTGTTTTTCAGAGCCGAAGGTGTTCTGAAGTCCTGTGCAGTGTCCACTATCGCCCCCTGCTGGTCACTGGAGGAATGGTGGAACTGAAGAAAGTGACTGTCTTTGCGTGTTTCTCTCTCTAAAGGCCACATCCCTTCTCTAGAGGAGGTGCTGATTGCAGTCCCACCCCAGAACACCACAGTAGTATTGGGTCGTACCACTGTCATGGAGTGTATGGCACAGGGACAGCCCAAACCATTTGTTTCCTGGAGCCGGATGGGTAAGCTCCCCCCTCCCCCGCCCCCCCCCCACTGCCACCTCCTCACCTGCCATGGACTTAATCAGACAGGCTTGGCAAATGCATTTGTGGTAGTTGTTGTCGTCTCCGTCCATGAAGGTGACACCAGAATCCAGCCCAGCTTAAACTTATTGGACTAGAGACCGAAATGAACCCTAAGCTAATATTTTTTTAACTTGACCCGACCTGACAGATTTAACAGAGAAATTGATTAAGCACATCAGCAATCAGAGAGATCACACTGTCAAACACACACAGTTTATATTGGCAAGAAACTGGGGCAGCACACCAGGACAGTTCAGTTATTTGGGCTGAATGTCCTGAATGATCCATCTTGGGGGGGCAGGAGGCTGTGGGGGAATCGCAGGATCTGGGCATCAAATAGGACGACGTACAGAAGCTTTACCGCCCAGTTTGGTCTCTCAGCCACCAGTCCACCTGGCAGCTGGGCCCTTGGATCGTTCAATGCCCCCCCCATCCGATTCACCGAGCGATCCAGCAGCTGTTGCCGGGTCAGTAAGGGGCACTGCCCTGGCATGCGGTCGCATGTAGGTTGCCGTTCATTATTGGCTCCCAGATGTTTGCTGTCCTTCGCAGGAAATGCTCTGTGTCAGTTGCATAAACTGCAATAAATGCAGGTGACTGATCTGTGATAGGGACAGCGCCAGTGCACTGGGCTGGTTCTGGATCCTTGTGTTAAGTATAAGGCTTCACTCTGTCACCTTTGGGGGAAACATACCCTCTAATACTCCTGTGACGGCACCCGGTTGTGCCCACATCCAAGCACACCTGGGCCCTCGAACCTTAGCCGTGTCGCGCATGCGTCTTAGGCTGGCTTTTGTTTCCTCCCTGGTACAGATGCCAGACCAATTTCCACAGACGTGGTGGTTCTACAGACGAACCTGGTGATCCCAGACACCAGGAGCCACCATGCTGGCATCTACGTGTGCAGAGCCAACCGGCCCAAGACACGGCAGTTTGTCCTGGCAGCAGCCGAGCTGCGTGTGCTGGGTGAGTGTGTATGTGTGCGGTGCTCAGCTCAGTGGTCTTATCTAGGTATTTCACACTTATTCTCATCCTGTCTGTTATCCCCAAGCTCCTCCCATCATCCTTCGGCCTCCAGACACCGTGTCCCTGTCCCGGGGCAACACGGCACGATTCGTGTGTAATGCCTCTGGTGAGCCGGCCCCCAGCCTGCGCTGGTTCCAGAATGGTGCTCCGGTGCAGCCCAACGGCCGCGTGAAGAGCCCGGCTCCTGGCGTTCTGCTTGTTAGCCAGCTGGGCGTGGCTGACGCTGGCTACTACCAATGCCTTGCCTCCAACAGCCTGGGCACCGCCTGCGCTACGGCCAAGCTGTCTGTCGTGGTGCGCGAGGGTCTGCCTAGCCCCCCCCGACTGCTGACGGTCACAGCGCACTCCAGCAGCACCGCCCTCCTCAGCTGGCAGCGACCAGAGCACAACAGCGAGCAAATCATCGGCTTCTCTGTGCACTACCAGCAGAATGAAGGTGGGCCACGCCCCTGGCTTGGGTCACACCCCCTGGGTGGGGCTACATGTTGGCCATGCCCCTGGCTTGGGACACACCCCCTGGGTGGGGCTACATGTTGGCCATGCCCCTGGCTTGGGTCACACCCCCAGGGTGGGGCTACATGTTGGCCATGCCCCTGGCTTGGGTCACACCCCCTGGGTGGGGCTACATGTTGGCCACGCCCCTGGCTTGGGTCACACCCCTTGGGTGGGGCTGCATGTTGGCCACGCCCCTGGGTGGGGCCACATACCCTGGGTGTGGCTACATGCTGACCACACCCCTGGGCTGAGCCACCCCCTCCTGGGTGTGGCTACATGTTGGCCATGCCCCCTGGGTGTGGCTACATGTTGGCCACACCCCTGGGCTGAACCACACCCCCTGGGTGGGGCTGCATGTTGGCCACACCCCTGGGCTGAACCACACCCCCTGGGTGGGGCTGCATGTAGGCCACACCCCTGGGTTGGGCTGTGCATGTTTGTAATGTGGTTATCCTTTGGTTCGTTTCCTGACAAACTGACATTTCCAGCATTGTGGCATTGTCAAGAGGGCAATCAAGCCCTTCTCCTTCCTCTCTCACAGGGCCAGACATCAGAGAATACCAGTTCGCTGTGAACAACGACACCACGGAATTCTATGTGAAGGAGCTGCTGCCTCACACAGCCTACACCTTTTATGTGGTGGCGTACTCACCCTTGGGAGCCAGCCGCCCATCGTTGCCCGTTACCGTGACTATGCTGGAAGATGGTGAGCGGGGGTCGGGCCACGTTAGCCATATGCTAACAAGCTAACGGTGTGTCTTAGATGAGAAAAGAGGACACTGAGGCTTCCCCGCTCACTGCCTTTTTGTATTCTTTCTGGGGTGGTGCATTGGCATTCCCTGCCTGCTCCTTAGTGCCAGTCGCTCCCCCGCCGCTATCCCTGCTCAGCACCTCCCCCACAGACATCCACGTCATGTGGCTCCCCCTCTCCCCTGAGCTCAGTCGTGGGACCATCACTCGCTACCGTGTCGACTACTGTGCCATGGACAAGGGTGAGCGCCCCCTGCTGGACCAGCTGCTCTCAGCTGTTTTCCCTGTTTTGTTGTATGTGTGTGTGTGTGTTTGTGTTTGTGTGTGTAATATTAGCCCTTTTGGGCTAATATTTGGGCTAAAGTCTGAAAGGCCCACATCCTCTCACTTTCCTCCACACTCCTAGGCTCACACCCTGGGGGTGCCGTGCCCCCCCACCATGGTACCCTTTAGGTGTCTCACATGCTTGCACGTCCACATGTGTCTCACAGCTCACCTGGTGTCCTCTGTGGAAGTGGCAGCGAATGAGACCCAGGTCACCCTGAGAGGCCTGAACCCTGGGCAGATGTACCGGCTCCGTGTGGTGGCCAGAACCAGGGCCGGGTACGGCCCGCCGCCCGAGTGGACCCTGCACTGCACTCCGGACCTCTTCAACTACAGCACCGGTGCGGCTGTCACAGTCTCTGCCTCACCAAACATGCCCGTCATCATGTACACTTCTCTCATTGTTTAGATTTACACTCATGCTAAAATGGTATGACCCCCCCCCCCCCAGTGCATGGAGTGCTGCTTATGGGGCTGTGTAGCCAGGGGTCAGTCAGAGTGCTCATGCTAACCGCTGTCTACCATTGACAGCGCCTACAATGGGCCTGCAAGCATCAGAACTGCACCTTGGGGCAATGGAGGCAGGTCGCCTGGTCTGATGGATGATTGTGTGGATGGCTGGGTGCGTGTCGCATGTCTGAGGGATGCGTCGGACCAATCTGCGGCGACACGGTGCCAAACGCAGTGGGGCTTAATGCCCCGTGTTCCATGAGACAGCATTCCTCTAACCATTGTCTGCCATTTCTGCCTCAGTAACGCTTCCGTTGGTTTGTACTCGAAGGAATAGCCTTCAGGTACATTTCGCATTGACGATCTTGGCCGCTGAACTGCCGGTCAGTGGCTTGTGGTTTCTCCATCCTTGAATCGCCCTCAGTAGGTTCTCGCCTCAGCTGACTGTGAGAATCCCACAAGCCCCTGATCCAGTCGCCTGACCATAATGATTTGGCTCTTGTCAGAGTCACTCCGATCTTTATCCCTGCCCATTTCCTCTGCATTAATGGGTACCAAATGCTAACCGTGTAATATATCCCAGACCTTGCCACACATGTTTTGGCGAAATGTTCAACATTATTCATTTCACGTGGGGATGGTTGTAATGTTTTGGCTCATCGTTGTATATCATTTGAATTTCAGAAGACCTTTATTCATTTACAGATTTGATTGTTTTCGTTGTTTACGTGTCATGACCTTCCTATGATTTATGTTTACAGTCTTCCACGCCCCCACTGGGCTGAAAGTCCGAGCCAAGGCCTCCTCCCTGGACGTGACCTGGCAGCCGTCACCCAACCACACCCGCGTCTCCGGCTATCGGCTCTACTGCCGGGAGGTTCTGTCGGACGCAAAGGACACCATGTCCGTCGAGCTGAGGAAGACGGTCCACCGCTATGAGATCAGGGAGCTGGGTGAGGGACTCCCCTTGATGTGGTAATCGGTGTACAGAGTCTGTGTCCATCTTCCCACATTAGTGTGGGAAATCTGGCAAGTTTGTGTTCAACTGGGCCGACAGATGTAGGTGTAGAGCCCAGTAAATCATCCGTCCTGCTTGGCACTCACTAGGTCTGCCTGCCTGTCTGTCTGTCTACCTGCCTCTGACTCTTTGGCTATTTCTTTGCTTGTCTGTCTGCCTTTCTATCTCTGCCTGCCTGTCTCTGTCTCTTTTTCTGTCTTTGTCTCTGTCTGCTTGATGTCTGTGTCTCTGCCTCTCTGTCTCTCTGCCTGTCTGCCTGCCTCTCTGACTGCCTCTCTCTGACTGTCTCTCTGTCTGCCTCTCTGACTGTCTCTCTGTCTGCCTCTCTGCCTCTGCCTGTCTGCCTGCCTCTCTCTGACTGCCTCTCTGTCTACCTGTCTGTCCCAGCCCCAGGCCAGCTCTATGAGGTCAGAGTGCAGGCCTACAGCGAGCGGCGAGACGGGTACGCTGCTGTGTGGAGGGGCCGGACGCAGAGGGAGCCGGCAGCTAGCGGAGGTAGGGGATCGAGTCCCAGGAATATCATGCCACGGACCTGTCAGCGGGCCACTCCCTGACCCCCACCATGTGCCTTCAGGTCCTCCACCGGACGCCTTCCCACCCCCCCCACCCAGCAGCATCCGGGCCTCTGCCAATAGCTCCACCTCCATCTGGCTGCGCTGGGACCGGCCGCGGGCAGGCGGCTCGCCGGAGGTGCAGCACTACACAGTGCGCTGCAGCCCCGTGGGCCTCCGCAACGCCTCACTTGTCTCCTACTTCACTAGGTTGGCCACGCTGGCTCCGCCCCTTCAGCCCCACCCATTCAGCTCTGTCCAGTCGGCTCCACCCACTCGGCTAACCCTAACTGCCTAATTCCTGTCTCACTGACAGCACTACACAGGAAATTCTGCTGGATGCCCTGAGACCATCTACACGGTATGAGATGGCGGTACAGTCCAATGGCCTTGAAGAGGGAGGACCCTTCAGCGGCACTGTGGAGGAGTCCACGCTCCCCGACAGTGAGTGTCCCCCTCCGATGCAGGGGGGTGCTCTGGTATTTTACACTGTGAAATGTTAGTCTGCTATTTCTTTATTTTTCATTTCCCATAGATTATAATACTGAGTCTGTCGTTGTAGCAGTTGTCCATATGGGTTAGGGTGTTTGAACAGTGGGTTTGCTTTTCAGGGGGGTTCCCCCTTGTGTCATGCTTTTTCAAAGCGGGACTCCCTCAACCACGGCTGGGTCATTGCCGCTTAGTCCTGCGGGCTTGGCCATCAGCTGAGAGCTCCTGACCTGGAGGCACATGCGCCCCCCCCCCCCCCCATCAGGGGTCACTCTCCTTGCCTCTCTCTCCACATGCAGGACCCTCCACTCCCCCTGCGGAGCTGCAGCTCAGCGCCTTGGACTCCTCCACAGTGCTGGTCAGCTGGCGCCCCCCCGTGGAGCCCAATGGCATCATCGTGGAGTACAGGATCCTATACAGCAGCAGTAGCACCCAGCCTGAGCACCTGTGGAGCTCCCTGTCCCTTGACGGTGTGTGTGTGTGTGTGTGTGTGTGTGTGTGTGTGACTCTCACACATCGCTTCTGTTCTCACTGCACACTGCTGACTCCCATGGCCTCTGCTCAGGCAGCACCATCAGCACAGAGGTTCAGAAGCTCCTCGGCGACACCCGCTACTACTTCAAGATGGCGGCATTGACGGTGGTGGGGGCGGGGCCCTACTCCCCCATAAAGGACGTGCACACGCCCCCTGCGGGACACGGTGAGCTTCTTCACGGTCTTAACGGTCCCACTGGAAGGCAGGCTCCCGGCTTGCTGGTGCTGAGGGGCGGAGCTTTTCCCAGTGATTGACAGCTGAGTCCTGAGGGCGTCACCCCTGCCCCCATCCCGTTCTCTTCCAAAAGCATGTGAGCCCTTTTCCCTTTCTTCCTGTGTCTGAGGTTTAGAGCTGGACGTTCCCACGGTAACGGGCATCCTGCTGGGCGTGTCTCTGGGCCTGCTATGCATCATCCTGTGTGTGTGCTTCAGCCTCCGCGGGCACCGCACCCGGTGAGCCCCACCCTGATAGAACACGCTAGAAATAAGGGCTGCGTGACATCACTCCGTCATATAGTCGCGACTACATAGCGCATGCGCAATCATTACCAGGGATTTAGTAAACATCTGTGAAGAGGGTGCATTGTGGGTAAACAGAGTAAAAAGACGGTGGTGTAGTGGTGCTTTTTGCAGTTTAAAGTCAGAGATGTTTATTAAACATAAGGATACATTGAATTTATACAGATTAAGTTTTGGGTGTCACAATACGCCGTGCATTAATATTTTAGTCATGCTACCATTCTGCTTACCAGACTGTGGGCAGGGGTAAAACATCTGTATAGCAGGGATGGGATCGAGTCATTCCTTGGCGAGTCCAAGTAAAGTCTTGAGTCAAAACATTGCAGTTCGAGTCAAGTCTCTATGATTTGCCCTCAAGTCCAAGTTGAGTCCAAGACGTTCCATCACTTTTGCAGAGTCAAGTCACAAGGCTTGGACTTGAGTCTGAGTCGAGTCGCGAGTCAGTGACTCGGGTCCTCACCTCTGCCGGATAGTACCGAAAAGCTGGAGTCCAGACAAATGTTTATGCCATCAGCTGAAGCCCTGGTGATTATTGCGCATGCTGCATGTAATTGCGATGTGATATCATGCAGCCCTGCTAGAAATATCCTGAGTTGCTAGTACAGGGGTGTTTTCCCTTAAGGCACTTCTCTCAGAGTCCTAGGGCAGCAGGCCAGGCAGGACTCAGGCACAGTAACGTCCTGCAGATCAGCAGCAGTCATGTTCACTGATAAGCGCACACTACCGGCACCTGACGTGCCTCCGGCCGTCTGCTCAGCGGATGCCCCACGCCTAACCCTCACCCCACCTCCTGCAGGAAGATGCTGGGGGGGGTGGACTCCTCCCCTCTGGCTCTGCGGTACCCCCAAAGCCAGCCGGCCCCTCACGAGCTGGAGACACTCATGTCTGCGGGAGCCAAGGACCCAGCCATAACTGCCGGGCCACAAAGTCTTGTGGGTCATGATGTACACAGGGAAGGCCTGGTGCAGGACTCTCTGTCCTCTGAGGTGAGGTCACAACCCCCCCCCCCCCCCCCCCAGTGCCTGAGTGTATTGTTGTTTGCACGTGTGCCCGCTGGGGAGGATGCTCTCCACATGTGACTGACACACGGCGAGCTGGAGAGCAGGCGGGATGCAATTAGAGATAACGAATGGCACAGTTATCACTAGAAACAGCCAATGAAGGCTCATCCTTATTACCTCCTCCTGAAAAGAGGCCTTAGAAGGAGGTGTCTCTTGAGGGCAGCCTGAATTACTCACCGCTTTTACAACCTAACCGCACGTGACCACAGAGTGAGCCTCAGTGTGGCTCAGATGGATCTTTAAGCCAAGATGGTTTTATGCTCTGCTTGTCTTCCAGGGTATGATAGCTTGTAAACTACATCTTGTGTCATAAATTTGGAGGAAGTGATCAGAGGATATTGGGTGTATTGTGTGAGCTCTGTGGGGGTGTCTGGAGCACTAGGGTGGGTGTAGCTCGTCTCGCCGACGTTCCCTCTGCCTTCCTTACAGCGGGAGGAGAAGAGGGGGGTGAATCTCCCCACCAGCAGCGCGCAGGTGGACGCAGAGGTGATCATTCACAGGATGCCAGAGTCCCAGGGCAGGCTGGAGGCTGACGTCGAAACTGAAGCTTCCTTGGATTGCAAACTGAGCCCCGGTGGAAGCGAAACCCCGCCCACACCGGCCAGCCCCGTCGATCTGAAGCTGGGCCCAGATCCCCTGGCAGTGCAGCCTCCTGACCCCTCCCCGGCAGAGATGACAGGGAGTCACGCCGGGCATCACCAGGGCGGGGGATGCTGGAAACGGCACTCTCCCAGCTTTTACAGGGCGAGACTCGGCGACGGCTTCCGTTCGTTGACGCCCCTACAAAACGGAAGCTCTCTGCCACAGGAGCGTGGACGTTTCCCTCCCAGGGGGGGCTTATCCGCACAAGCGTCCTCACCCTCCTCTCCCACACCAAGCTCCGGCCTGGTCCCTGCTTTTGCGGCCTCACACAGCTACCCTTAGCCAGAGCCGGACCAAGGACAGTGGGGACCCCCCCCCAACTGGCAGACCCAGAGCCCCTGTCAGTCTGAAGCAGGGACCCGCTTTGCCGTTCCTTCTGGCAGTCACACAGATGGCCTTTTGATCCAACTGTTGTCCTTGGTAGATAATTATTCAAATTTCACCATGAAAACTGGGGCCTGTATCACCAAGCAGGATTTCTTGCTTAGCCGGATAACATGTCAGATTTAAGGTAGTCTGGGTTGATGATGGTGATGATTACACTTTATTGATCCCCGTGAGGGAAATTCTCTCTACGCCTCCCCCAACTTGCTCTCTGTAGGTGAGAGAAAGCTGACTGTGAAGAGCAGCCACCCATAGCAGCACCCAGGGAGCTGGGGGCTAAGGGCTTCGCTCAAGGACCCGCAGATGTGCCGAGGCCAGGCTCAAACCAGCAACCTTCTGACCACAGGCACAGAGGCTTAGCACACTGAGCCACACGCTGCCCCCTAGTGTAATGTAAATGTAAGTGAATGAGGATAAAGTCCATTTAAATTGGGGTGCCTTATATCCGACAAGTTATCCGGCTAAGCAAGAAATCCTACTTGGTTATACAAGCGCAGGTGTTTACATTTATAGACGGACCCTGAGGCAGCCCAGGTGGAATGACATGCGAGGCCTCCTTACTGACTAACTGGTTCCTCAGTGTGGAGTGGAAACACTAAAGTGGGGCTCCTGGGGGCTCGGTGTCCCACCCCCTGCTATCGCAGCCCCTCGTGATCCGTTCAGCGAAGGCCTGTGACTCCTTGACTTATTCTCCTGCTGGCCCCCGCAGCAGAAACACCAAGACGCAGCTGGTCACCAGCTAGGCGTACGTGCTACAACCGCCTAGCACTTCTGGCTCTGTGGTTCCACAGATCACATGGTGCAGCGCGGGACGGTTGAGAGCCGGTGGCAACGGGAGCTGGATACCCGGGCTGAGCTCCAACCTGTGGCCTGAGTTTGAAGTGACAAGCTGCCACTTAGGACCAGAGGGGTATCTGACTGAGGCTGCAGCCTGTGTGATGCTCGACCACCGCATCACGCGGCCCTGTGGTCTGGACGCAAATGGCCCAATATATTTGGGGTGCATCTGTGTTTTATAAAGAGCCACGCTGTCCATCAGTAATACGTGGAACTGAAGATTTCAACCAAAAGAAAATCAATCACCTTTTATTTTCCCTCCAGTATGGCAGAGTGTGCTTTCAGTCCCAGTCGTCCCAGTAGCTCTCGGCCAACACAACTACCTCATTTCTGAAGAACACGCTGTCTCTTTTTTTTCATATCTTTTGAGATCTGTCCCCTTCATGTGAGGAGAGAGAAGCTTATCATTATGAAAAGAGGGAAAGTTTTAGTAAATATTTTATCTGAAGAGGAGGTGTGTCAGACTGTGTATAACACAAATGATGTTCTTTTCTGATTGGGCCCCTCTAACCACACGAGGCCCTGCAGTGATTAAAACAAATAAATGATACTTTTTCAGGTTTTCCTTTTTATTTGCTGATGTGCGGAGGAGAACAGACATTATGAGAAAAGTCAGACTGGTTGTTGGTATAAAGCAGTGTTTCCCAACCTGGTCCTCGGGGACCCAAAGATGGTCCACGTTTTTGCTCCCTGCCAGACAGTCCACATTTTTGCTCCCAGTAGAGAAGCTGGGAGGGAGCAAAAACATGGACTGTCTGTGGGTCCCCGAAGACCGGGTTGGGAAACACTGGTATGAAGTAACACCGACATACGTCTGAATAGTTAGTGATTACTTTATTTTTGGGACCTCAGTGGTTACAAAGCTACCTATAAAGTGTGCTCCTTTTGCTGTAGGCCAGAACTGAATCTCACACTGCATGAACACCTGACGTAAACTCGCAGGATTTGTAATATGTCTTATCTAGGTTTTAGGTTCAGTTCTCAGAACACTATGCTTAGTCTTATGTTCTATTCATTCCTCTCTTATTCACCTATGCACTTAAGTCTCTCGTGTACTATTTAACATTTCCGCTTTGTAGTTATACATTCCTTACCAGTGCTTCAGTTTTAACAGATATTTATATAGCCGGATACCCAGTAAAGACGTTTGGCTTACTATCCTGGTCAAGGGCACCGTAGTTGTTTGAGCAGGCAGCCTTCAGGAAATCGATGAGGCCCATGGTCCGGAGTGGGCCGTGTTTAGTCCGTGTTCCCACAGAGGAATGTGCCATGTTACCTCTCTGTCTATCACCTCCTTATGGTTCTGTGCGTTTGCTTGCTGATGTTGAATGTGAATTTGAAATGTGTTTGTAGCCTGAAATAACTGTACATGCTCTTTCCTCAAAATCCTTAATGTTTACGTATCACTGTTTTTCTTGCTTTGTACATCTTGTGACCCGTGTCATTCTCCCGTATAAATGACCCAGATCTGCCACATACCCTGACCGGACCTGGTCCATATGGAGGGCCGGGCCGGGCCGGGGCCCAAACCGGCTTCTCACCATTCCATTCTAGACCCCTACCTTTGTTTTGGGGAATTTCCGTTTTCTACCTGTGATGCACTTGTGTTCCATCGGGGGTGCATGACGCCCGTATTGTCGGGACTATAGGGTAAGTGATGAATGTTCCCAGTGGCCTTTGTTTCTAGCTGTGACTTTGCAATAATATTAAATTAATGAACAGGGTGAAATGGTCGCTTTACAAAAAGCATTTTCCAAAGCGGCTAATAGATAGTGCTCTTCGTTGACTTTTTCCATCCTTTCAAAAAATAAAAGCACGGTAGTAAATACTCACTTATTCAACGTCTCCTATTTCGTAAGTTAACTAAGATGGGCCATGGGTATGAGAACTGTGTATAAACAGTTTAACGTGAACATCGAACACGTTCATATGCGGGTCAATATTATCAAAGAAGCCGATCTAGGTTTGATGTTACATGTGTAGTAAATGTTCTCATTCTTTGGTCGTTTATTTACTATTATAATTTATGAATTATATAATGGAGTTAATTTGGAGCGTGGGCGATTTATTGACTGACTTATTGCTACCTCCCCCCCCCCCAAAAAAAAAAAAAAAAGAAAATATCTTCGTTGTAACTGTTACCCACATTTTATAGATGTGGCATTTAATATCAAGTGGTTAAATATCAGCAAGCTTTTAACGGGCTCGAAAGTGGTTAGATCTTTTTGTTCTCTAGCTGAGCCTCGGGTGGGGGGGGACGAGAGAGGGCGGGGGGGGGAGGAGAGAAAGGGGATGAGGCGCCGTTTGTGGAAAACGGAGCGTAGACGCGTGTTTGCAAAGAGCGCTGCGAAGGGAAGGACAGGTAGAGAGTGGCGCCTTTCAAAATCCTTACACATATATGTCAAAATGGCGCTAACATGCATTAACTCTGCAAGCCACAAATGTAGTTCGGAATATGAGGATCTACTTGACTGATTTCTTTATTTCCCCCCGTTTTGCTTTTGTTTTTCTTCAAGCCTAATATTGTTTTGCGAGTGATTAAATGGCTACCAGAAGGCGCTGGCCAGTTGCACGCTTGCTTGGATTGCTCCTGGTCGCCTCAGTCGGTGAGTCCTTATTGATGTCCCTTGAAGTGCTTTTTTGCGAGATTGGGGCGACACATTCCTGGAGCCGCGTCGCTTCTCCGTCCTGCTCGCAGCGCCTCTCTGTCCGCCTCGGATCACGGCAATTATCGCATTCGCCCATTTTCGGAAATTAAATGCAATTTTGCTGTTACTCTATTGTGCGATACCGATGCAAAGTGGCCATGCGTGTCGAGTTTAAATGTGCGCTTAAGCATAAATCACTTTGGGGGCGTGTTGATAGAAATATCCTAATATAAACGGGTATCTGTTTTGTTGGACAGTCTTTTATTATATCTCAGCCGGTTGTATGGTTTTATGTCGGCCGTGTGCGATTTAAAGAGCAGCCCAGACCGTATATGATTGTCTTGTTTGGCCGTGCAGATGCACGCACACCTACGGCGAGGAGTAACGGTATGCGCGTCTCCCTTTCCACAACTCCTAACCCAAGGCGCCAGTTTTCTGCTTGGGGGGGAAAACGTTTGTTGCTAAAATTTCTCCCCAAATTACAGGTGCATTTGTAAAATACATGATTATGCTTGAAATTGTATTATTTTGGTCGAAATAGTTTTTGGTTTACCGTGATTGTGCCACGTTTTTACGCATTAATAGCAAATTAATTTTTGACGCGCACATGTGAATCGGTGTGGAGTAAAGCGAGAAAGCATCTGTTCTGGCCTGGGCCACCGGCATGACTTCGGGGATTGTAATAAGACATGTTTCGGGCATACGGAAATCCTCTAAGTGTTCAGATTTTCCCATTTAAAAAGGGCATTTTGAAAATTAAATAGACCTACTATGAGTTTTGTTTTGTTACTTAAAACCTTATGAACGCGATAACAGAAATCAGTATATAATGAAATAACTGAACATAAAATGATCGAACAGACAGGAAATTAATATATTGTATTTCAGTTTAATATGGATTTTAGCCCTATGATTCAATCAAGTGGATCAATCTAATCTGCAGATAGGTTTAAAATGTCTATCAACAGGCTGTAACTTAACCGCAGTATGAATCCCTTCCTCAGGGCACATTATTAAAAGATACTACAAAACCGTAACATCAACAAAAACTCAAATAACAGTTTAAATACCGCATCCCCTTTTTTGTTACCGCTAGTTATTATTTAGGCCTTATTGCAGTCTGTGGTATTGATTCTTTTAGATAATACCCATTATTTAGTTTAAAGTATGTCGAAGTGGGAATGGGTCAGTGATTTATCACCTGTCAAAGGCAGAGTTTTGTTTGTCAGATTCTTCCCAGCGCGGCTCCAGTCTGTTGGTAAGCCGCTATTAAACGCCAAGCCCCCTTTCTCCTTTAATAGCCTGCTGTCCTGTGCGCTTTGTTGCCCGCGATTGACATTTTTTATCCTTACGAGCCGAGCCGAGCCGAGCTTCCGACGGGCACGCAGTTTGTAAGGCATTTCCGGGGTTTTGTGCGCTGACTAAAACCCATTAAGAAAGCGCATGCAGACCCCATCGCTTAGGGCGCCGATTAATTCCCCAGAAAGCAGGGCTGCCAAAAGTGACGTTATTACTGCTTATTTTGCAAAGAAAACGGTTAAGAGCTGTCCGTCTCTTGAAGGAAGGGGTTCATCGATGAGAGTGCTCATATGTCAGGGGCGGATTTAAGAGGTGCAATAGTAAATACTTGGCCAGCCCTGTTTTCACCCCATATCAAAATAATAGTAACGAAATGTGGATTATTTTATTTTATAAACGGAACCGTAGAAAATATGTGGTGCGGACCTACCAATTATCCCATTAGTACAGTATGATTATGAGTTTGAATCCCCTTCAAATTGCTTGCGCTCCCCGGTACCCTATTAGTGGCCCCCGATGGTCTCCCTGCCGGCGTCCCTGGCTGGCGTGCCAGTGCACCGGTACCTGTAACTACCTACCAAAGCATGGCGAACTGTGCTCTGCGAAAATACTAAGAGGAGGTACGAACCAAGACCATACAACACAAGAAGCAGCAGCACACTGCAACAACCCACGGTGCAGCAAACGGGCACGGAGGGAGGAAATGTCAGAGTAAACCTGGTGCAGTGACAATAACGGGCTCTTACACGGTATGTTGTTCTTGGCGATCAAGCATAATGTCGTAATGGTGGTACGCGGAGAGCATAATAATACTATATGAGGGGTAAAGCCTTTATGAAGCACTGCTTTGGATGGCCAAACGATCAATCGTTTAGACTTAAAACCCGATTATAAACAGCCCTAATAGCGCCCCACCTCCGAGCTGAGTTCAGAGGGTCGCTAGTTTGTCTTTTGTTCATGCTTTCACGTTTTGCTGCATGCGTGTGTGTGGAGAGTGGGGGTATTTTCGATATTGTCGTCTAACCTGATATTTTTTAATTAATATATGACACAGGCCTGTTATTTTTTAGATAGTGCCCAGCCTTTGGGATAATCGGTAATTGTACTGTCAGGAAAAAATGGCATCCATGCTCCCGAAGGGGTTTTATTTTCTGGGACCCCTAAACAGAAACTTAATTTCTTAATAGAACTATTTATTTAAATCACACCCTTTAACTAAAAACCATGTCTACATAAAAATGTTGCTTCTGTTGATCTGTCATCAAGCTATTATCATTTTTATCATTATAATTTTTTGGCTCGTCTGACGAAGCTCATTCTGAATGGCAAAGTAGACGGTGTTTCTCAATGTGTACTTGATTGTACTTGTATTCTCACATGCCCGTTTCAGTTCCAATACTCAAGAACAGAAGTACAGAGGATGGTAAAAATTCCCAGATGTCGTTCTTGCCTCCCCAAATATCAAGGATACATCAGTTGCATCCTTGGCAAATGAGACCAATCCCATGATTCACTGCACCCCAAGTTCATTCTTGGGAGGCAAGTTAGCAAGACTTGTCTTGTCAATACCACAAGTACAATCTTTGCCTTCATGGCATTGAGAAACAGCCAGGTATTATCAGTACAACACAAGCTTCCAGTTGTATGTCACTCAGGCACTCTCAAGCAGGGGGTGGGGCCTGCTCTGCTTAACCCAGTCCCTCGCCTGCATGCTCTTGGGTCCGTGCTCAGATGTCACCTTTAAGCCTGTGCACCGGCAGCACTGAGGAGGGGGATTTGGCCCTCCCCTGCCCACACACAGCGGTAGTCCAAAACTTCGGGGGGGCTCTGGCTGTTGGGTAGGCCCCCACACCCTCTTATAGGCAAGCAGCCGTTCAGCGCTGTTGGGCCTGTGGGGTCACCATGCCTGTTACTGTGTGGTCATGCGGCACTTTGGCTCCTCCTCCATTCACGGTGGGGGGGGGGGGGTTCCCCATGGTCTCCTCTCCCCACTCTGCTCACAGGTGCCATCCAGAGGGAGGGGGCCATTAGGCTCAGTCTCACCTCCATCAATACTTTGGCTCTTAGATGAACTTGCTGAGGGTCAGATCATCTCCTGAGGGTGTAGGTCAGAGCCTCTCCTGGGCACTGAGGGTGTAGGTCAGAGCCTCTCCTGGGCACTGAGGGTGTAGGTCAGAGCCTCTCCTGGGCACTGAGGGTGTAGGTCAGAGCCTCTCCTGAGCACTCAACCTGGTGCCCATAAACCAGAAACCCACCTTTTTGAAGCATTGAGGGGGGCTACTTATCAGGCAGAGGGGAACCTCTGCATTTACACTGGGGCAGCTAATGTTCCAGATCTTTCCTTAGGTCTTGGCACCCTTTATACGCCCCTGGATCCCCCCAGCTGTGTGATGTAATCTCTCTGTCCCCCAGAGATGACCAGACACACCAGTGAGTGAAACACAGGCTGGAAAGTGAGACACGTCTGATGTAGCATTAGATGATGATGATGATGATGATGATGATGAAGAAAACTCTTTATTGCTGTTGCAATACACCATGTCACTAGTCACAAGTACCAGCGAAAAACTGGCCATCAACCCGACCATACATAGACAAACATCACATTATAGGGGGTAGACAGGTCAGGAAGACAGCCACAGTATTGTGTACATATTTGCACTTAGGAGAGATTTTCTAATTGAAGTAGTGTTTTAGTAGATCTAGCTCGGCAGGTAATGTTTTTCGTACCAAAAACCCATGGGATTAGTCCAGTAATCTCGGATTTGTTCATACGTTCAGCTGCTGAGATGGTGAGCAGTGGTTGGTGTGGGGCTGAGCTCCAGTGTGCTGGTGGGTGATTTTCAGGGACAGTACAGAAATACACTGCAGTATAGTCACTGCAGTCTGTGATCTCTGTGCATTGTTATGCTTTGGTTTGGCTTGAATTACTTTGTTAGAATACTATAAATAATGTTATTCACCTGTTGACAGAGGGATGAATGTCTTCCTTGCCCATTGATCCATCACTGGGCCTTTTGTCTGTGAGCCCAGGTACGACAGCCGGGACAGCTCTAATGGGGTGGGGGGCAAGCTGACCTTTGACCTTTCCTAAGGTTACATTAACACAGTTCTCCAAAGGTGGAAGGAAAAAGTAATTGGGGGGGGGCTCAGAGGCAGGCATGCTTTCCTGAGCTGAACCTACAGCGTCTGTGACGCTCCATCGCCACAGCAGCTCCATGTCATCGCGTCCCCTTTTGCCTCCACCCCCTCTGCTGGAGTTCCCCCTTCTCACGCCATCACCTGCCCCCCCCCGGCCGCTGACCCAGGCCCCCCATGACCTGGGGCCTCTGCTGCTTACAGAGCGGATCCCGTCAGCTGCGAACCCGATATCCGCATCCCTCTCCCGTTCCTCGTGAGCCTGACTTCACTCTGCCTGTGTTTTGATTCTTGGCTTTGCTGCACTTGCCTCTTTGGCGCGAGGCGCTTATGATGCATAATAAATGTACAACGTTACAAAGAGCCAGTAAAAGGTGGCGGGCATGAAAAATAGTGCGACCCCCGCTGCTCATATCAAACGACATCAGCGCGTAGTAGCCGGACGTGTCCAGTGTAAATGTGCGCCTAACCAGAGACGGCACAGGGGACATGTCGATTATAACATCTGCATGTAAGTGGATCTCAGCTCTGTTGAGCAGCCCTCCTTTGTGATTTCACAGCCATTTCTGTGTGTTTCATGTAGACCGTGTGCGGTTTCAAGGACAGCTTGGACCGTGTCTTGTGCCGGTAAGCGTGTGCCCCCCGTTCTGCACGCGTTCTCGGATATCGTGAACCTCACCCCCAATAGCTGTGTTCCACTCCCACCCCGGGGAGCCCAGCTCTGCACAGCGAGCAGCCAGTGTTTTGATTCATGGTGTTGTTGTCCTTGCCTGTCACCTAATAAATATGTGCAGTTAATAAGCCGTAATAAGAGTTGGCAGGCAGCTCGTGAAAAATAGCACGCTCGATTATTGTTGTTCCTTTCTTTGGCTTCTGAAGGGAAGAAACTGCGGCTGAAATTAAGATGAAATAAATTTCATTGTCTAGCTCTGTAGCAAATTTTTTGATTAATCGCATTTTCTGCGAGCCGAACGCGATGCATAATATCGTGGGTGGACAGCTAGCGGTCACCTCCTTGCGTTTGCAGCAGAGTCCCTCCAAGCTTCTTATCCCAGAATTGTCAGAAATCACGGACAAAGACGTAAGGGCAGCAGTGCTGCTGCTGAGAGAGTCTCACTGAAAGCGGCCGTTTCTCTTCTGTTGTGAAATCCACCCCTTCTTTTCCTCTGTCCTCAAGGTAAGGCTGACATTGAGCTGGGAACAATCAGAGCTCTATACTCTCCTCGAGATGTGTGACGACTCGCTTGCTAATGGCACTCGAGCGCGAGATCACGGCCGCTCTCACAGCTGTGCGCCAGCGGCCTTTGCGTCTCTAAAGTCCATCCATGGCCGCCGCATTCCGCATTATCTGAGATCTGAAAGGGGTCGTCCAAAGGTCACGGCGGGACAGTCGCCTGACTGGTATTTCCAGGTTGCCTGGCATTGATCTTCCATCTTTTCATATTCATCCTGAGAGGGAGGATATACAAAATCTGTACAAAATCGCTCTGGAGAGCCAGAGCAGGGAGAGCAAAAGGCAAGAAACGAGAACAGAGGCTGGAGGGTCCTGATCGATCACGTGTTCGAGGGGCTGGGGCTGCCTGAACACCTGCCTGATTGAAGGTGCCCCTTTTCAGTCGCCGACCATCATGCAAGATTTACCCCCCACCGGCGTCATGCACCTGCCCCTCAAAGTCTCAGCACCCCACTGCTGATTAAGGCAGGATGTCCAGCTCCGTGACTGAGAGACTACAGCACCTTGAAGTTCCAACGAATTTCAAATGTCACGCCATTCGTTTAAATATATACAAATATCAGTGATGAACCCCCCCCAAAAAAAAAGAAAAAAATTGCAAACAGAATCCATTCTTTTAAATATTTTAACAGACCGTTCAACATCTCATTTGTATGGAGTGCTAAAGAGGTCAGTGTGAGAAAATATATTTTTTTGAAATATTTTTTTGTTCCTCACAATGTTTTTGACTGTCAGTTTTAGTACAAAACATAGAATTAACGGACTAGTAAGTACAAACCTAAATACAGACGTGTCCAGTTAAGTTTGCATTGAACTATGGGGGATAATATGCACCATGTAATTTTCATATGTGTTTTTATTCATATTTATTAATAATTGCACTGTGTCCATTCACCGCTAGTTACTGTAAACAAGACAGCTTGGCTATTGCCCTTCACATGTGCAAACACTGAGATATATTACAGCCAGAAAACTGAATATAAGGTGGCGTGTTTGGAGTGTCTGTTGCCGTTTGCTCAGTTGCCTTCAATGAAATGCAGTTTCTTTCCTGGCAGGAAAAGGAATGAGGCTTTATTTGCCATTTATTATAATAAAAAGGACACTGTATTGAACGCTGTGGGGAAATTCTCTTTTGCCTCCCTCATCTTGATCTCCGTGACACAGGGTGGTGGCTGAGCTTGGCACCTAAGAGCAGCCACCTGCAGTGGAGCATGTTAAAGGCCTTTTGTCTATAAACACAGAAATACGCATGACTCTTATCCATCTATCCATCCATTTTCTGAAACTGCTGTGAAAAGTGTGTTATACCCAGCAGCTTGTTGGGCAGTGGGATTTATGTCTGCGCTGTATTCAGCTGTATTACACAGCCTGTGTGGCATCTTCTCTGGAACGTGCTGTTGTGGCTTCGGTGTACAAGCGGTTCCCTCTATGATGTGCATGTTTGTTTGTGCACACAGGTGTGTTTTCGGGGTCAGAGCTCACCTTCACCCTGGAGCCCAGCGACATCATCGCCGTGCAGGAACAGCCCCTCATGCTTCACTGTCAGGTGGACGGGATCCCTCCAATCACCACGCAGTGGAGGCGGAACGGCAAGCTCCTGCTGGAGGGCCCAGGATGTGCCATGTTCGCCAACGGCTCGCTGCTGATCAGTCATTTCCAAAAGACTAAGCTGGACGGCTCTTCCGATGAGGGAGACTATGAGTGCATGGCCCAGAATCCCATTGGGCTGCTGGTCAGCCGTAAGGCGAGGCTACAGGCTGCAAGTAAGTGGGCTGCCGTTATTATTATTGTATATCAGAGTAATTTGTTATTCCGTATCGTAGGCTTGGGCAGTATCTTTTCCATACCATCGTACTGTTTGGACACTGTACCAGGGTAGTCTGTAATTTGATAGTATTTTCAAAAGCAATGCTTCTGGTTTTTTGAAATATTGCCAATATGTACGACAGATATGTCGTAACATTGAAGACAATTAATCTCCCTCAAGAATGCAGTTACAGTTAAATTAACGTGCGAATAAACACACCACTCATTATAAATGATGAAATTAGCATTTGGGTTGCTGTGCAATCCACAGCAGAGTGCGGTACCTCTGATCCCCGCGGCCTTCCTGGGGGCAGGCGGCGCTGGGCACAGGTTCGGTACGGCCCGGGGGCAGGGCGCCACACTGTCATCAGCCGGGCTTATTTGGTGAACTTTCGGAAAGCGGATCTCTGTAAATCCTGCTGTGCTGGGCTGCCTCGGGGCATGGGTCAGACAGCTGCCAGGTGGGCCTCTGGTAAACTGACCCAGGATCAGATTGCACTGTTAATTTTACCTGCGTTGACCCTCATTCTGTTGATTTCATTCCGCACTGAAAACACTCTGAAGTTTTAAAAATACTATTAACCTTTTAAGTAGCAAAACAGACCTCTGCTTTCAGCCATATGCAGTATGAATTAACCCCTGAAAAAGATGAATATTGCATGCATGTTTGGTGTGAGTTTATTTACAGGGGTATTTGATACACGTTTTTAAATCCCAGAGTTTGTGAACCCAGGATCGTTGGCTCTGAATTAATGAGCAATATGTTACCCCAACAGAGCAAGAAATGATGCTAGTGTTTTAACATGTGCCCTGTGACTTCAGTCTGGTCATTCACAGCTGGGCGGCTGCCTGGATTATCTGTGTGAGGTTAAAGAGAAATAAATAAAGGATGGAAAACTCACACAGAATACAAACAACAAATAGAGCTCCCCAGTGTGATACCAGCACAGTCCAGCAGAGACTCTGTTTGATGTGTCCTCTTAAAGAGATGATCCTTACACAGAGTAGTCAGCCTGTACAGTGCTGAAGAGACGAGTGAGGGGGCGCTATGCTAGCAGAGAACTCTCACATCACTCCTGTTTCAGTCTCTGTTTCTCTTGCCCTCCTCTTCCTCCTTCCATCGACAGTCGGGTGGGCATGACCCTCCTGGAGATGCACGAGCTCAGCCTGGCCTTAAATGCACCCCGAATGACAAAAGTACTGGTGACAGCTGAAACGATGGCATCCCTCTGGGTTCTCATGACATTATGTTGCAGTCTGAAGGTGGCTGTAATGGCAATGTCTGTGACCCAAACTCATAGCATCTCATTTAGTATGTAGCAGAACTCTGTTCCATGTCCGGACTGCATCCCAGGTTGTCCTGTACCTGTAGCTGCATCTGTACACAGGGATGTGTACACTGTACATTGTGTCAGTGACACCTGTATATGCTCTCCTGCAGAGAGGAATACACTCGGATAAAACCCTTCCAGGTTACACGGTCGGTGCTGCAGTGTGAGCTGAGCTTTTAAAAACCTGCCTGGTTAGAGCTCTTCCAAAGGTCAGATGATGATGGCATTTATGTAACATTCTCTGATTTAACATGGTGGTGGTGGTGGGGGGGGTCCTTCATTTGCATGCCATGTGAACACCCCGTGATTGGTTGTTCTTGAATGAGGTTTTGGATAATTGGCTCCTCATTGTAAGTCATTCTGCGTTTATAGTTAATGGTTATGGTGGCACTAATGGTAATATCTGGAAATATGAGTTTCCCAGAGGCTCTGTTATTTGAGCACTGCTGGATTTGTGCCTTGGACTAAGTCACCGTGACGCTGTTTTAGTGGTGATTTATGCAGAAGCCGGCCAGTAATCATGAAGGTATCACCACTTTGGACGAGCTCTGCTCTCCATCCTGAAACGTATATCCTTACATTGCCTGCTTCTACCACTCTGGCGTCTCTGCTCCTTCCCCTTCGTGTGGCTCCAGTGCTCAGCTCTGCACCTCCCAAAGGCACTACTGCACCGACGTGCACTATTGTCACGATGATTTGTGACTCCAAAGATGGAGGATCTGCTTGACATCACCAAGAACATGCTAATGTGCAGCCAAGAGAATTTAACTTGGAGAAATCGAGGGGCTTGGTGTCGTTCATCCAAAAACCCAACATTTACAGTTTTTCTGTGTTGGTAAACATACAAAACCCCAATCTTGGAACAAAACTATCAATTACCAGAACTTATTTATTAAATCAGAATATTTTTCTGTTGTGTGCCTTCATTTGGGTTTTTTACTTTGTCCTTTTACAGTAATTTTTTTTGTGCTGAATGCTGCAAACATTACATATTGCTTTATGTATACATAACTATAAACATATTTGCTAAACAACATTTTTCTTTTGGATTCCGATTTTACAGCTTAACATGCAAAAGACCACATGCACAGTAAACATGTTTCTGTACATGCCAGCAACAGTTTTGACTGGTAGTGTTTTAATTTCTTGGCTGTAGTATGTAATGACTGCTCAGCAGTGTTTATGTACTAATTGGCTTGATGCATGGTTTGAATGCAGTGTTTAGCTCGGAGCAAAGATTGCTTGATTTTGAAAGACGAGACAAAAGATTTGTGAATATAGTTTGAAAATTGAGTTTTGTATTTCTTGTTTTGAGGAAAGATTGGAAGGTTTCAGGAAATAATCTTTTGCAATTGTTTTTAAAACCGTTCTGGGTTATTTTTGGTTTTTCCAAGGAACATCTCTTCATTAGATGGAACGCAGTTGAATCTGTGTGTTTTGGTTTGTGTGTTTTAACACAGGGTTCCCCTCAGATTATAAAGGTCTGTGTTGTTGTTTTTTTCTCTCTTTTTGTGGTGCTTAATTGATGACCTGGAGCTTGTGACTCTATCACGTAACCCTGAAGCATTTCTGGTGGCATGGATGCTGTTCTGCCCTTTGACCCTGAGCGTAGCTCTAAAGGTGGGCATGATGAATCACAGGGCCTCCGTTAGAGTCCCGTCTGCTCCCTAACCCTATGCTCGCTCCATCCGCGTCGTGTGCTAACTCAGGTTTCCGCAGTGCTGTGGCATCCATGCGTCCGGTGATGACACTTTAATGACGTCCAGGGTTGTGCTGAAGAGAATCCTTCATACTGACGTTGTTTTATGTGCTGAGAGCCTTTGAAGTGTGCCTTGGGTATCATTATGGCGTGAGGCGGAATGGGTGCTCCGCAGGAATTCGCCGCGGCTGTTTGGTTTTGCTCTCTCCTACTCATTTCAGGTCCCTTGTCTCCATTTCGCTGTAAAATAGCTTCCAGCGGCCCTTGAGCTGTCAGCTGCCAGTCGGGACCCATACATCAGTGCCTGCGTTGGCCTCTCTGACCGCTTTGTAGGATAGTAGAGAGAATGTGTCCCACTGGAGACATGGTGTGTGATGTCTCACTATCCATCCTCCTTTGTTTCTCTTAGGTTTCAAATTAAATGTTGTTTTTTTCTTACATTTTGCTCTCTGTTGCTGGTCCCCGTGAGCACAGCCTTTTCTCTGTCTGTCCACATGAATGCGGCCTTATCCTCCCTCTGTCTGTCCCTGTGAATGTGGCCTGTCCTCCCTCTGTCTGTCCCTGTGAATGTGGCCTGTCCTCTCTTTGTCTGTCCCTGTGAATGTGGCCTGTCCTCTCTTTGTCTGTCCCTGTGAATGTGGCCTGTCCTCTCTTTGTCTCTGTGAATGTGGCCTGTTCTCTTTCTGTCTTTGTGAACATTGACTTATCCTCCCTCTGTCTGTCTCTGTGAATGTGGCCTGTCCTCTCTTTGTCTCTATGAATGTGGCCTTTCCTCTCTTTGTCTGTTCCTGTGAATGTGGCCTGTCCTCTCGCTGTCTGTCCCTGTGAATGTGGCCTGTCCTCTCGCTGTCTGTCCCTGTGAATGTGGCCTGTCCTCTCTTTCTGTCCATGTGAATGTGGCCTGTCCTCTCTTTGTCTGTCCCTGTGAATGTGGCCTGTCCTCTCTTTCTGTCCCTGTGAATGTGGCCTGTCTTCTCTCTGTCCCTTGAATGTAACCTGTCTTTTCTTTCTCTGTCCCTGTGATCTTGACTTGTCCTCTCTCTGTCCCCATGAATGTAGCCTATTCTTTCTCTGTCTGTCCCTTTGAATGTGGCCTGTCCTCTTTGTCTGTCCCTGTAAATGTAGCCTGTCCTCTGTCGTCTCTCTGTCAGTCCATGTTTTCTCTTCTGGTCTATTCCATCACATTAGCTATGCTAACGGTTGTTACCTGAGGTCTTCAGTGTTTTGGATCATCTTATTGCCTGCTATAAGGACACATGAGATCATGAACTCATGGGCACACAGTGGAGGGCCCTTCAGAACAGGCGGAGTCTTGCGGGGGCGGAGGGGGAACGTCAGGCTCCTTTCGGGCTCGTGATGATCAAAAGGCTTCTTCTCTCTACTTCTGTTTCTCAGTGTCAGCGCTCATGGTCAATTTGTACTTTAAGGTAATTTGCGCGTTATAGACCCCCTGCCTCATCGTTCTGACAATATAGGGAAGGGTGGGGGTGGGGAGTTGAGATTAGTGAGGGCTCCTTAAAATCCCCCCCTTAAAGAAATCCCCCCAGCCCATAAATCGGGGTTGTTATTTGCTTGTCTGGCAGAGCTGCTAGCACACAGTTGGGGGGCCAGTGAGACCCCCCCCCCAGCCCTATTGCCCAGCTCAGTTGCCCAGCCCTTCCCCAGAAAGCTTATTTTGGTACACGTTGTCTATTTGCTGCCTCGGCCGCGCCCACCCCCCCTTCATCTGGAGCTCCTCATTAGCTTGGGCTCAGGAAGCTTTTCATCATCTGGCTGAATGGCGAGAGCGGGGCGCCGGAGCCGGCCCGGCCCGGCCCGCTGTCCGGTTCCATTCTGCCGGGGGCCCGTCACCAGGCAACTGATTACAAAGGCCTCCTGGGTAAAACGGCTTTCATGAGCCATCACAAGGGGCAGGATTTGTCCCTTT